CCTTTCCTCATTCTTGACTAAACGCGCGTTTCGCCCTGTCCGTGGTTGGGTCATACAACTTTCCTCCTACATTAACCCCCCCCCCCCCCCCACCCTCCCAGCATGGAGGAGCAGCTACGTTTATGGCATGTTGACACTCGTTTCTGAATGATTTAAGATAAGTTGAGACAAAAAACTAGTGGAGTAACTGACAAGCTGCATTCACTCTGTTTCACAATTTTAACAGCTATTGTGGATACATGGGCAGATTTTTTAGGTCTCTCTGTAACTCTGCTAATCTTAAAATTAGCCAGGAGTGTTTTTCTGTAATAACACTATAAGTACAGTATGTGCACAACTTGGCACTATTTTTGTGTTAGTTTGCAAAAAACAATAGTAGGCTATTTTTTTTTTTATGAAATGATATATGGTAAATCAAACTGAACATTTTGAACGCCTTGTCACAATAAAAAGACCATTTGCACCACTGCAAATTCTCACCTTTTCCCAGCTATGAACAACCCCTCCTTTTCCATTGTGAGTTGCATTGTGGAAAATAGTGGCATCAACACTAATGGGCATATTACCTAAAAAGTCATATATGGTTAGAATTATATGGCACTGGATCTGTAGTGTTAGACTGAAATTTTGAACTTGATTAAATGTAGACTTGTGATTAAATACTGGAGATAAGCAACATTTTGGACACCTGCACACTGCACAGAGGTGTTTGGCAAGATAGACTGCTGCTTTGCATGTAGTTCATATTAAGGATACAGTTTATTTGAAATTACTACCACAGTGCTCCTCTCACAATACACAGACAATATTTCACAAAAAAATAAAATGACTTGCATCCTGTACAAACACTTTGCATGTTGCAATGTTTTCGGCACAAAATGTGCTTGTAATGTAAAGCAAAAGTGGAATAATTGGACTCGAGCTTGAAGTAGCCAGCAAGTGGAGTTGTTGTAGAATGACCCCTAGTGGGAAAACTTATATATAGAAGTGTTTTGATCTGGCTCAAGTGGCCACAATAAAAAGGGAGACACACCATGGCAACATTTAACAAAATATGTTTATTCAACCCAAATTAGGCCAAATTAAGAATTGTTCCAAATTAAAGTTATTAAAGTATCGGGTATGAACAGCAGTGCTGTCAGTAGTGTCAGGGCAGGATGATGGATGGGTACGTGAGGGTGTTGTAATGTGCAGGAAACAAGATAAATACAACTAAAGCAACATTTCCTGCAGAAAACCTTCCCCCATTCCACTGAATGAGGGAGCATGCGGAAATGTGCCAGCTTCTAAAACAAACAAACAAACAAATGAAGAAAGAAAAAGAAAAAGAGTCAGAATATGGAATAAAAGCTAAGACTGCCCTACAGAACTGAACTTTGGGAAGTGTGTGGTGGCGGTGGTGTGTTTGTGGTGAGGCCTGTAGACGCTGACAATGCTTCTTATCTGCACACTTGTCCATTATTGAATCTTTATTCCTGGGCCTTGCTCTTATTCTCTTAGCTGGTTGCTAAGTTACTGCCACCCGTGTACAAGAATTGCCGCTAGAAGAAATGAAAGAAATAGAGAAATAAGTAGAAAAGCTGTAATAGTCAACTTTTCTGCAGGCATTAAGCTCTAAGTGTGGGTGAAGGGTGCATGTGGGCAATCAAACCACCTCCCCAGTATTGACTGATTTGGATCTATTGGCCCCAAAGCCTTTTGTGGCCACCACCCCCACCGATGATTGGCATTTTGGGAAGAGCATAGCACCAGTTGTCCTGAGTAAAAAGACAGAGACTGGGTCAGATGGCAGCCAATTAAGACTGAACAAGAAGCAAGGAGATGGTGCTGGAGGAGGAAAGGGGGATTGAAGGGCCCTGACCTGTGTTACAGATCCATGTGGAGCCCTTTAAGCTTTTCACTGAGTCTGAGAACAGCATCACAGAGAGCCAATATCAAAAAGCAATCGCTCTCAGACAGAATCAGTGTTTGGTTAACCACAACTGACTTCACTGAGTTAACTGGCGGGTGGAGGGATATGAGTTTTTCTAAGGTGAAGGTTTGGCCGGCTTATGAAATGTGACCCGGAGGAGAAGTTTGTGTTTGTGTTGTGACGCTTTGCTATCTGATCTGCCTCTTCCTCCTCTAGCACACATTCTGGATCTGCAGCATACATGACGGTGACAGCTTATATGAGGAGAAAGTACAAATAAATAAAGTTAGAAGTGAGGACATATGTTGGATGGAATGCATGAGGGCATTTCTTTTTTTTATAAAAGTGCATCCAGACCTCAGAACTGTGGGAAGTCTATCGTTTATTGTAGGAACAAAGATGACAAACTGGTTGAAAATGGCAAATAAAGGGACAGAAAAGACAGGCAGATCATGGTAGCCTGCTTTGCTGAGATGGTGAGATGTGTCTAAATGGAAATGAGGTTAATGGGTAGCGGATGGTGGAGTGAATAAGATGTATGCACAGGAGAGACAGTGCAGGAATTGCTTCAATTAGATTCATGAAATCTGTAATCTGTGTTTCAAACAAACAGATTTTCACCAGCCATTCAAACGAACAGGACGCAGTAGTTGCACTGGGAATACGCGCTCCCACACACTCACACACACACACACACACACACACACACACAGAGAGTCTACATCCGTGCAAACCAAAGCAATGAAGTCATTATCTCCTTAAAATAACTTTAATGACTGATGGTTGCTTAGTGTGGGGTTGATGTGGGGCACCATTCTGCTGTGGTGCTGCGTCCCTGAAATCTGTATCAGTGTGTAATTAATGACTGCATTTACCTCTGCATGATTAAAAGTCCCAAAGGTGGCTAACTCCTCAAGATCAAAACATGGCCTGTAACACTTTCCCTGCGTCTCGTGGTACCTGGTCTGTCCATATTTATTTTCTAAAACGTACTTTTTTAATGCACACTGTACTCACCGTGGTGTTCCCTGGCATTTAATTGCACACACTCTCACTCTCCAGCCCACAGGGACACAGTGGCTTCCTCGCAGAGCTTTGGGTGCTTTGATCAGCTAATAAAGGGGCATCTTCCCTGTGAGGAAAGTCTGTTCCCTCTGGGGCGGAACGTCTTAAAAGGGCGTGTCCATTTTGAGTCTTGAGTCATGTCAGGCCCTTTGGCAGCAGCACCACAAACAAAAATGATGAGGGGTAAGGAGCAGGGGGGCGGATGGGGTCAAACACCACCTCCTTGTTGCTAGGGATGTCTTCACTTATTGTGTTGCTAGGCTGCCAATTCCCTCATGTTAAGACGTTTCCCCCTCTTTCCTCCGTCCAGGCACCTCATCGCTCCCTCCCTCTCCTTCTCCTTCTCCTTCTCCTCTAAACTAAAATAACTTCACCAACCATCTGTCACTGGACTCACAGGTCTACTGTTGCTTAGGAACAAGTCAGACACTCACATTCATGTCTATAAGCATCCTCATATGAATATATCTTCATATACAGTTATATGAACAATAAGCCCTGGTTGGACACCGGGACATCACTGAAATGTCTGGCATTCACAGCAAGTCCGGTCCGCCGAAGAGTGTGAAGTTATAAATCAGCAACAGGTTCTTAAGTTTGTGAAGATTTTAAAGGGCATAACTTCTTGAAAGACATTTAATAGTGACATGACAAATTTTCAAAAGATGTTCATAAGTAATTCAAAAGAGCAACATGTTCATTGACGTTTCCTCCCCATTGACTTTGCTACCACTTTCTCCTCATTTGTAAATTCTTTTAAGTTTTGTACTTTAAAGCCTCAAAGAGGAATTGTTGGGTTTCAACTGCAGCAGAAGATTTACATATTGACAGAGAGATGAAGTGTAAGTACAAGCTACTTTCCATAATCACACTGCAATGAATAATAGAACAGAATCAAATTTCGCAGAGCTGATTTACATGCTTCCAATTAATTTGCAGCAACCAAATCCAAAGGCTAATGAGATTATTTGATCTTATTGTACACCAAAATACTCCTTGTTCTTCTGTTATCAGTCATTAATAAATAAACTGAAAGTAAACCACCTCCAGGTTTATGAAAGGTATTTGTGGATGCTAATCATTGTTTGTACACATGCTTGTCAGTTGGCTGAAAGCTGCTTACCCAGACATCAGGAGCATCCCAAATTGAATTTCATGGCCCTGGTTTTTAGACAAACAGCAGATTAATTTGACAGGCTTACAAGTCTTAGGGGGGGGGGGGCGTTTCAATGTGTGTGAGGAAGTTTTTATTAACCTGTTGAAGTTTATCGCACTGCAACTGTTCAATTTCACATCAATATAAGCAGAAGTGAGGGATTATGATAAAATAGGGAAAGATTGCTGTAGCTTTTGCAGCAGCTATAATCTTTTGGCAGTGTATTAAATTAGCGCCCAGTCAGCAATAATTTCTAATTTGGTTATAGTACCTAATTTCAGAAATTCTAAGGGTCCTTTCTCCTCCTGCTGGCCAAGTACCCATCCATCACATAACTGTATCTGTGTTGATGTTTAGTAGAAAGCAGAAAAAGGGAGAATCTTGCAAAAATTTAGACTTTGATGTATGGATGGAAACCAGCTTAAATATTTAAAAGTAATCTAACAATAAAACCATTTTGAGTCATTTTTTAAATTACATGTAGAATGCCAAAATGACAAATGAACTGCTGGCCTTGAGAGGGACATATACTATATTCTTTTGAGCAATTCAACCCAAACTCATTGCTATTTCTTTACAGTCTAATGATTTATTGGTTGATGGGTAGACATCCACAGAGATAATATTAGGTAATGTAAACCAATAACAAAAGGTAATTCAAAGGTAAATACTAGCACATACATATTAACACATTTTGTCCACAAATGCCTGTCAATACACACTTTACACATACTCACACTTTGCATGTAGAAGGGGATGAGTGTTGAGGTAGAATAACACTATGTTCACGAAGATAGAAGAAAACTCTTTTATTGTATTAAGAATCATTAATGATTTGAAACTTTTCACTTAATTCATCAAATGTTATATTTGCACTGAAACGTGCTGTCCCAAAGGCTCATATTTCTTTACTTTGCTTGGGTTTCATCTCCACCTTAGTAAGTTGGTGTCCCAGGCACTTGGCAAAGTGAGATTTGAATAACCCTTTCCAATAAAAAGAGAGAGTTGTCTGATGATCAGGGGTTTCATTTCAGCCGCTGCCTAGGAACAGAAACAGCAGGCAGCGTGAAAGCAGGGGAGTCAATATTTCTGATAAATATTTGCCATGGTGCAATCATAGTTTATTAATTCATGTCTTCATTTCTCAGTTAGAGCTCGCTGTGCCTATATTGGTCTCTCTCTCAAAGCCTATAATTTACTGTGATAGTTTCCTCAGCAACAGGCATAAAATTCTATAAATGCCTTTCAAAGTTGCAGATGACAATCCTCATTTTGATTCTAATGGAACTGAAAGCCTTTTTTTAGGTTTTAAATGATTTTCAACACTTTTATGAGAAGCCTTCAAAGTCAGTTTATGTCTGAATCAATATTGGTGAGGCTTTCAGGCGTTATTGATGCGTGATGTTTTTAGTTTTAGTTAAAAACAGATCCCATGTGTACTCCAGTGGAACCAGTATTCAGAAGGGAAATTATAAGTAGACTGAATGCCAAGAACTATTTCTTTCTTTCTTTCTCTTTTTTGTACACCAGAGGGGCAGCGCATTATCTGAGGCCATCTGAGTACCTCCCCTGGTGAGGAGTGGTGGTGTGGTCCACGGGGAACTCATCATCACTTTAAAACGCACCAGAGACTTGGCACAAAAGAAGCATTCGCAGGCGAGCACGGGCGCAAAGGGACTGTCTCTTATTAAAGGGAAACACGTTTTGCACCTTGCGCGTTGTCTAAGACACTGAAGGTCAGAAAAGCGTGTACTCTGAGTTGAAGAAACTTACTTTTGGCTGCACCTGGTGCGACGCCGTTTGACTGGAGCTAAAGTCCAGCGATGTGGATGTGGTTATTACGCACTGACGCTGTGGCAAAACTCGATGTTTCCCTGTAGAACTGGACTTTAAAAAGCGTTGTTTTTGGTTTTCTTCCGCTTATTTTTGTCTGAACAGTCACATGACGCAAACTGTTGCTTGGAGTCCAGGTTCTGTGGTGAGACTGTGTATCTGTCAAGTGGAGTCGCGCGTCACTTTGCTGATAAACCGCAAGGAAACATGAACGTCTCCTTCTTCGACGTGACCCAGGGCGCGCTGTTTAACGGGAGTCAGACCCTCGCTGGGACTCTGGCGACATACGCTGGCAATGACACCGACAACGTGGTGACCGGCGACGGCGGAGGGTCCCTGGTGCTGGTGCAAGACGAGCGCAAACTCTTCGTCATGCGTGTGGTGCAAATCGCGGTGCTGTGCGTGTTGTCGCTCACCGTCGTGTTCGGTATATTTTTCCTCGGGTGCAACCTAATGATCAAATCGGAGAGCATGATTAACTTCCTGGTGAAGGAACGGAGACCCTCCAAAGACGTGGAGACGGTCATGATTGGGCTCAGCTAGAGCATGGAAAGTAGGTGCTGTGAAAAACTGGGGCGGAGATCCGGTATGAGGATCTGATGCCCGTTTCCTACAGCAGGTCAAAATCTGCATCTGCATGTACTTCTTAAAGACGCCCTGTCTGTGTCATAGTGAGGAAAGATATGCAAAAACGTCATATTTCCTTCTGAAAAAAAAAACGACTACAGGAAAGTAGTTCAGTGACCAATGTTTGTGCGTAAAGTTTATGCGTAAAACACGGGCAATTGTTTACACATGGGCAGATATCTTGAATCTTATGAGTGAATTAAATGTTGCCAACTTGAACAAAGTGACGAAAATGTTTACAAGCTGTTACCTCATTTTTTTGGTTTTGTTGTTTTATTTTTGTAAATTTAAAATGGTTGTTAGTGAATGTTTTTAAAACTGTCAAAGAGCATGATTGTGAATTCTTATAGTTACACGTCTGCCGGTGTACTGGACGTGTTGGATATGTGGTATTCTCTATACAAAGTATTTTTCTTGGTCTCGTTTGGTAATTACACTATAAATGAAATCTTGCACGTTTTTCAACAAACTCCTTCATAGCTTTATGGGGTGATTCTGGACCTGTTTGGCATGCTCGCTAATTGATCTGTTAAGTGATTTTTGGACCAGTTTTGCACTTTTGAAATCACTGATGCTGCATGAATTATTTTGTACCAAAAAACTTGAAATTGCGGCATGAAATTAAAACATTGAAATGACCATATTAAGCTTTGTCATCTGTTAATTACCATGATACATTCATTTCAGTGTGCATTATCAATATTTTTTATAAAAAAATATTTTTTTCAGAGAAATATTTTCCCCAAAATATTGTGTAAGTATTTTTACTTAGAACTGAATTATTACTATACCGAATCTCTAAAGAACCACGTATTATTTTACTTTTTAATTTTAAACTCAAATCACATCAGACTGATATGATCTTTACTGCACAAGATGAAGCATTAAGTGAAAATATTAAACACACAATAGTAGTTGCACTTGTAATGTAAATTTGTCCTTTAGTGAGTCTTCTGAAATAAAGATTCCAATCCAGACGTCTTTTAAGGGTTTTATTCTTTGCAAAGGGTCAGACAAACATACAGAGTGCCAAACAGTCTGCAGAGTGTAAGACAAACAGCCAGTGAAGAAACAGGTGACTTTATACTGTAAGGGTAATACGCAGCTATCCAAGGGAGGAAGGGAGTAGGGACCAGCTGTCCTGAGATGAAGGCCTATCAAGGACAGTCTGATAAGAAAACTCTCTAACGAGCATCTTTCCCATGGAAAACTTCACCTAGCTGTAACATAATAAAATAATCAAATACCACACAGTGAAACACTGGTCTATTCTGATGAAGCATGCAGGGTGAAACAGTAAACACAGTAAAATATCAAATTTCCATCACACACTTTAATAGGAAGGAGAAATTACACAGAAAACTATATTGTACACAGTTATAGCTTAAAATGAACATAAAAATGTTTGAAGATCACATTGCACAATCACACTTAATAGTTAGGTACTCAGTAAAAGCAGTGTGACATTTATTGCAGCTTTATATAGAGAGGCAATGAGAGGCCAGGCAGAGTTATCCATCTTATAGACAACAGGCCGAGCTCATATTGGCTTCATAGTATTTAATCTGATCGCTCTGAAGAGTGACCATACAGCTGCAATCAAAAAACATTTGGCCTCACCCTGACCACTTAACTTCCCAGCAGCCCCCACTGCACCTCAAGAGTTTAAGCATGACATCCAGAGAAGTTCATCCTTTTTCTTTTGTGCCATCAGAAAGTGTCTTAAACAGAGCACAAATGTAACAGCTAGCAATGAGAGAACCTCAATGCAACAGGATTTCACAGAAAGAGGACATATGAGGACGTCCATGAACTGTCATTGTGCTTTAAGATCTCATTACTCTTTCTGCCCCTTAGTGTCTGCACATTGCACACACCTTTTTCCTTCCTCAAGAAAAAAACACCTTTCCGGCCCATTTCTATTTCTGAAAGACAAAACTGACAGAAAGTTTCATTCTGCACGTCAGGTCTCCATTGTATCCAGCTCAACATTTTGGTTCCATTTCACTTTTATTTTGTCTCTATGCACCCCTTCCTCCTTCTCTCTCATGTGCCCCACAGAAGCAACCAATGTTCTCATTATTATTTCAGTACTTGCTAGGAGAGCTGGGGTAGATGAATCCTTACAAACACACCCATGCATCCACACATGTGCCCGTTCACCATGCACACATTGGACACTGATGTGCGGCAGACCAGCAAATTCTGACCTCAACCAAAAGTATATCAGATAAACAACATGAATAAATAAAACCTATAAGATAATTAGACTTTAATGCTTGAGAACCACTCTGCAATCTATTTCAGACACAATACATAGCATGCATGTGTATGAAAAATACTGTGTATTTAAAATTGTTGACATGGTAACTTCTGCAACCCATGTGTGAAGTATATTGTTCTTGCTTTTAAATTTTCAGAACATGACCGAGAGTATATATATGAAAGCATGAATGTAAAGCCTGTAATGTAAGAGGGAAAAAAAATAAAATCATTCTGGTATTGTTCCCGTGTGCCAATGAATTCTTGTTGGAAACAAGGAAGCTTCATGCTGTTTTTAGAGAGAAGACAGTTAATTGTTCAATTATTAACTTGTTACACAGAAACTCAGTTAAAAAAAATTTTGTACAGTATGTCAATACAATCCCTACAGGGTACGTTTAGATACTGAGTTTAGAAAGCAATGGCGCAGTTGAATAAATGTAATGATTTGGACAAAGGCACTGGACCATGGTAGGGTTTATAGATATATTTATATATAGATATTTTGTTTTTACCAGAGGTCCCAAAGCAACACTGCCTGAAGTTAGTCTGGTTTCAGACTTCTGAATTGGGGCACACATCTCTCTTTTCAGCTATTACAATAGATCTGTTGTGGTGCTCACTGAGATGCCTGTTTCCCAGGTTGGAAACTGAGTCAGTCAGATAAGATAAGAATGGGAATGTCATCTTTCTTTGATAGAACCAAAATATAGCTATAGAAAACTGGTGACACACGTGAATGAGATCAACCCAGCTGTGAAGGTTGTTGTAAGCTGACTTACAGAAATAACAACTCTTAAACTGGCATATTTCTTCAATTAACATGACCAACGTTTATTGCTCATAGCAGCCGCTTACTTCTAACCCCATCTGTATCTACTGCAAACAGGGTTGACAGGATGGATATGTCACTGACTGACTGACAAGACTGCAACCATAGAAACATAGCAGCTTGCATACACTGCTAGCAGTACAGTGACGACTTCAATGTCTACAAATCTGGTAAGATTTTTATCCTTTAACAAGCACTATTTAGCCTTTAACATTTTGTGCTTTCCAAAACTCTTGAAATTAAAACTCGAGTTTTTTAATGCAGAACTAATATGTCGCTTAAAGTATAACCAGGAACTGGCATTACATGGTTTGCATGTGAAAAAATTTTACAACAATAACCACATTAATTTTGCAATGAATAAATATGAGACAGAAACACACAACTATTATTAGCACTGATACTGACTATTGCAATTAAACATCAGAATCAGAAAGAGCTTTATTGGGAATTTGCAATGGTGGTAAGGTGCTACACGTAGACAAACATACAGTTGACATAAATCAATAAAAATAAGTAAAAAATATAAATATGAAATAAACACATGCAATAAAATGAATAATAGAACCATGTGTAGAGAAAAAACAATGTTTATATTTATATATTTAAGGCAGAATCGCTGCAAACAAATGCATTCAGGAGACTGCAGGATTTGAAAAAAAATTCAAACATTTAATATAATGACCACAATGTTGTAACCCGCAAGGAAAATGTTGCAAGCTCATGTTTTGTCAAGTAAGAGCACTGAGCAATTCAAAATACATTATTTTCTTTTTGTAAGCGTTATCACTTTCTTATATAAAGTCTCTTCTCTTGACCTGGCTGAAAGTAAATTAGAATTACTCACCATCTTGCCTAAGATCAACTTAAAGTTCTTGTTTTCTCACTTCAGACTCACAACCAGTCGCCCACTACCACTGAGCATATGCTAAAAAGTTCACATGGAGCACTATCCATGTGTCCACAATCTGTTGTGGGCACATGGATTGTTGTGGTGCAGCAAAGGTTGAGATGTAGCTACTTATAATGTAGTGTATTGAAGTGCATTTAAAGGCTATTAATAGTCTTATGTTGCAGTGTCAGTGCAAGAACAACACATTAACATGTTAACCCTTCACCCCAATCAACATGTGTGCAGTTATGCAGGTTTGTTATGTTTCAAGCTCTCTCTCTCTGTGGAGCTACTGTACATTTGCGTCTCAGGAAGCGCCACCACTGACCTTTTGCAAGAGAGACAGAAAATAATGAACCATGCACTGGAAATGAAATCATGACAGAAATAATGGTGATTAAACCAGCAGTGGCATTCAGCACTGTAATAAAGAAAGCTCTCCCAAGAAACTTGGCTTTGCGTCAAAGTACCTAATATAATGTTGTGAATCTTGTTGTGCTTTTCGCCAGAAAAGTTTGACACAATACAGATTTGTCAGCATAGGCGACCCTGCAGAGAAAGCCATTTTTTATTCCCTCAGTATTTTTGATTAGAGGGCAAGATACACAAAAGATCTGTTTTCTATGCCAACGCAGGTCCCACAAGGATTAAGTGGCCTTTCTCAGCCCCATTCAATTCATTTCATAGCTCACACAGGTCAGTGCATGCTCAATACTCTCTTTGGTCCACACACACACACACACACACACACACACACACACACACACACACAAACACATAAACAATAGAAAGTGGTATACACAGCCTGTCAAAGCTGTTTCACTAATGCCCTCACTAAAACACAATGTTTGCAATTCTATTATTTTTCGTAGCTGTTGTGAGACCCTTCACTGGCTTGAGCCCATTGAAACTGGTGGAATTTTGCAAAACACTGAAAGCGCTATAAACATACAGACACACATACACACACCTTTCGCCCACATCACCCCAGGCAAATTGTGCCGCATCCCATTCAGCAAATAGTCCTTGCATTCAAACTCATGAAATTTGAAATAAATCTATTATGTGCGGGCAAATGAACAACACACAACAAAATTGCCTCTTTCTTTCCATTACCCACAACACCATGAAGTTGAAAAGTTGGTGATTACGCACACACACGCACATAGCACACGCAAACAAATAAACACTTAGCTCAATTAATGCATTCCATCCACAAAATGATACACCTACATCATTTCACACTCACAAATGTGTTTCTATGCTGCATGTATTATCAGCGTGAATGTGAGCATCATTTGCCAAAGTGACTGTTGTTGATTTCATATTAACACTGTGCTGTCAGTTATAACCCGAAGGCATTCTTCATTTTTTGGGTGATGTGATGTGTCACCATGCTTTTTTACCTGCCTGGTGCTGAACTTCACCTGTCAGTGTGTCAGTGTGTTTTCGCTCCAGCAGCTCTGTCCCTATCCTTTCATGACGCTTTCTATCTGTCTGGACTCTCAAAAATGTCTCTTACTCAGACACTATGAACCGGCAGTCCTGTTGAATTCATACAAACACATGTTGTCATGTCATGTAATAGTGAATGAAATGAGTAGGTAATAAAGAACAACAGGAAAGTTGACTGCGATAATACACCAATGTTGGGTTTAAAAATACATTAAGTGGAAATGTGGCTTTGGGACATAAAGGAAAAGGAATGTGCCAGTGAAAATAGGGAACAGCAAAAGCTTTATAGTTAAAAGAAATTAATTATCCTCCTTCTAATTTACTTCTTAGGGGATGAGGACACTACTCATCAATTAATATTGTGTTTTTAAAAAGCACAATTTTAATTGCGGCCATAATCTTAAAGAGGCAGTGGTTATGAAAAGTTAAAAAGGTGGGACTCTTAAATCCAAACCCTAAATAATTTTGTCATTACACACAATATGCAAATTAATACTTAGTATTCACAGGGTTAGCTCTCAAATGTGCTACTTTGTGTAAAGAGCTTAATCACATTCAGAAGGAACAGATGTCTGCAACAAAATGAAATAAACAGAGAGAAAGTCAATGGTAGTGTGATCTCTAGCAGCACAGGTGGCCCCACAATCTGATTCTGCACTGCAGCTGTTATGCATTGAGAGAAAAAGCAGCAGAACAGGTACATCAGTCTGTGATGTACTTTTATTGAGAATGACATGTTCTTTCCTCTGTGCCCAACCTCTCATTGTGGAAATCATAAACTATTCTAAATTAAATTATCTAACAAGCCTCCAACCTGAAGGAAGTTTTAGATGGAGGATAATTCTGCACAGGCCTTCGGCAGTAAGGTTAAATCTAATACTCATGAGGGATGGCGTGCACTAAACCATCTTTCATCTCGTTTCTGTATTTAATCGAGGATCACGTTCAGGTCAATCCTGCATCTGGATACACACACATATCCAGTCAGAGCAAGGAGACAGCATGGCACTGGGGAGGTCAGATCAAAACAGAAGAAAGGAGCTTGGCACAGGTTGTGTCTGATTAAGTCAGCATTCAGAGAGGAGCACTGGTGAGAGGGAGTTGAGACACAATGACACCAGCTTGGCTGCCTTAGATGGACATGATCACCATGGGACTAATCAAGCCCACAATAAAGATCCCACAGAACTTATTCTGTCTAAGGCGGATGGCATTAATATGCTTTTCTCTAATGACCGCATCCTCTCTAGGGGATGGTGTGTTTCATACCATTGATTTCCAGTGACAATCACTTGTATTGACCATAAACTGGTGCACTGTTCTGCAGCATCATTACAAAACCTACACACAACCCCCAACCACTTACATTTAAATGGCCAAATGCAAGATAATTAGTGTATGTGACTAAATAGTTTATTGTGTATTACTAAACTCAGCGCACAGAGAAGTGTTAATTGCCTTTAGTTGGTGGTAGGCACCATTCAAAGCTCACCCATAGCCAGGGGAGGAGGTAGTGGTGGGGAGTGTCTGTCAGTCAGCCCTCCTCCTTAGGGAGAAGAGAAAAAAGAAGAGAGTGAGAGCAGATATATTCAAAGCCTTATCTCACATTGCTTCTTTGGCTCTCTTTCTACCTCATCCCTACATGCCAGACAGTGGCCGGCCAAAAAAAGAATAACATCCACCCTGGCTGCCCTGTACTTCACTTTATTTCGGCTCTGTCATGTCACTTTTGTGCTCGTCGTCTCTAGATATAATCTCTTTTCATATCTCCTTTTTTCATTCACCATTACAGAACATTGCCACTGCGAAAGCTCCAAATGTCTGCTTCCCTGAAGGGGTTGAGGTAACTTTTAAAGCTCCCTGATGAGAACGAACCGAGCCTTTCTGACTGTCCAGTTCTAATCAGAGACGGCACGGCTGGAAACTTATTACAAACTCACTAAGACCCACTAGACGGCAATGTGTGAGCAGTCATTTCCCAAAACTTCGACTATCTTTTGTTGAGTGGTATCTTTCTTTAGGCTCTGAGCTGTGCACGTTCATCAGTGACAGACAACGAGGGGATGAGGACGACATTAAACCTTGAAAAAATTTATCGTACTCTTCGCCGACATTATCTAAACAAACCGCAGCACACAATGCACACACGCACAGTACTGTGAACACATAGATACACACACTGCCTCCACCACAGAAGGGCTGCAGGGCGGTGTTGCCATAGGAACGAGGAAAGGTAATGGCCATGTTCTTGAGCTGATGCCGCAGGGGGTGTGGGGCAAAGGAGAGATATGTGTGTGTATGTGTGTGTGTGTGTATTAGGGGGGTTGAAAGTGAGTCAGACTTATGGACTAATGATAAGAGCTATAACTTAAAATCTGCCATCTTACTGTCACCATCTCCCGACCGATGCTGATGACATCTCCTGAGAACACCAGCGTACTAATGGGATAACATTTGAAGAAATGCAGCAAGTTCTAGGCAACAGTGATGCCATGCTATTTGCTTTTAATGTGTTCAGCAGAACATTCAGCTAATTTGCTTGATGTTGTTAGCTTGGATGCAAAGTGAACTGCCTGGCATCTTCATTTATGGCCTTCCCTCTTCACCCCTGAGGTATGAATAAATTATTCCTAATGCAATGAGCTAACCCTTAAACCAACACTGATGGCCATTTCTGTGTGTGTGTGCGTGTGTGTGATTAAATATTACTGAGAAGTGCAAATAATTTAATCATACCTCAGCAGGCCAGTCTCTATATAGAGAGCTGTTTAAGTGACAGCAAACTCCAGGGTCTCCTTCATATTTGACATATTTCATAGATGCATATATGGTTCCTTAAATAACCAGTAGACGAGTTTGTCCCATGACCATGTGTAGCCTCACTGTTCTCCATATTATTAGTATTTTCATTTTATGCTACTTTATAATTTAACTTGTCATAGTTAAACTTTTTACTTACTTTTCAGATTAGAATTTTAGATACAAAAAACAAAATCAATTTAATAAATATGACACATTGATAAAGATTAAACAGTGTATTAAGTGGTTCAAATTAGCTTCACCTCGACCAACTACAACAAGTACTGCTTACATATGAATACATCATCAGTAACGATCCAGTATTAATATAACACTGACATTCTGCATGATGAGCACTTTTACTTTTGATACTCTGATGTACTTTTAGTTAAGTAATACTTTGAATGCAGAACCTTTACTTGTAATTTGGCATTTTATAGATGTTTACACTACTATTACTATTACTGCAATATGGCTGTTGTTTACAGCATCACATATAAAATAACCACACTGGCGTTAAATGGAACAAAAAATTGCGTTACTTTTATAAATTACAGAAAAGTTTTCAAATTTGGGAAACAATACTTCAATAACCCTTTTATTAGCTTTTAACTGCTGACACGATATATAATTCCAGTGAATGATAATGATATTGAAGTTTTGCCCAGCCTTGCTTGATGTTGTTAAAGCTGTCCAGAGATATATTTCTCAAACATTCACCTGAGATGTGGATCGCATTTCAGTGGTATTTGTGAAGTGTGTCTCTCTTTGTGTTCTTTTTGTTCCAATAAAAAAACAATCTGTTATCACAGAGGCTTTGATGTAAGGTGCGTAGGCTTCACTGGATGGCAGGATGAGATTTATCTTTAGGCCAGTTAAACATAATTTATTACTTTCCTCATTTCTCACAGACTTGGTCATCACCTGCTGCTGCGTTGTTCCTGTCTCCCCCCTCTCCTCCTTCTCCTCCTCCTCCTCTTTCACTGCTTGATGCTTCCCTTTGTGTCACTTTACCCACACGATAACAGGGGGCTTTTAAAAATAGAGACGATCCACCGAGATTACAGCGTTTTAATTACAGAGCTAGAGATGTGATGGGGGTGTAGAGGCCCCTTCCACTGACAGGGAGTGAGGAGGGTTGAGGAGGGAAGGAGAGTTGGAAGGCAGAGTGGTATAGTGAAAACTGTGTGCTAATTAGTGTCGTCTGCCATAGTGAAGCTCAGGCTGTAACCATCTATTATACACGCATTGTTGACGCATTCTGAGCACTCCATAAACTCACACCTGTGGCCTCATCACAGTTATTTTAAATATTAATGCTACCTGTGGGGAGACTGGGGGCAATTTAAAACAACTGTATCACATAGCGATGAAACTTACTCTGCATGTGCTCACTAGTGTTCTCTGTCAACCCCGAGAAAAACATTTCATTTTAACAAATTTTAAGGTATGAAAGTTTTAAAATAATCTTCTGTGGTATCACCGGAAAATTAAATTACATTCAAATTTATAAACAAATTCGTATTGCGTTTACACATTATGGTGGGAGCTACATAACAATCTCGCTGATAAATCTCTTACTAAAGTTACTTAAAATTATTATTTGTATTATTCTCTGCTCTGCTGCTCTCATGCTGTCTCCCCTCCCCTCCTGCTCTGCGCTCCTCTCCACTGCATTGTTTCCTCTCTTCTCCTGTCCGTCAACAACAACAATAAACACATGAATCGTCAAATAATCAAGATCAACTAGATATGCCAGTGATTGAGGAAAGTGTACCACCACAATCTATTTTGTATTGTTATAATATAACTAAATGTTGTTTCTAGGGCAGCAACAGTAATGTTAACAAATTCACTATTTACTACATATTCTATATATGTTTTCTACATGTTTATGCTTGTTTAACAGTTGTATTTATTAAGTATTGGCTTTTTACTCATGAAGGTTTGATTGCACTTACTTATAGTAACAAGCTCAGATGTTGTTAACCCGATTAACCTTTGAGCCTCTTTGCTCTGCTGACCACTGACTTTGCTCTGTGTGTGTGTGTTTCTCATGTTTTTATATCCCAGTGGGGACCTGAATGCGCATATGGGGACAAAAATTGAGGGGTAGAGACTGCATTTGGGGGGTTAAAACTTGAAAAAATTTCAATTAAATCTGTATTTAATGGACAGTAGCTGGATTTGTGGTGTGTTCAAATAAATATTTGTTTCATGAACACACTTAACAAAAAAAACATTTCCATTTCCACCACTGACTAAAACACAACACTGTGGCTGTAGTGTACAATGTGAATTCATCAGCTGCTTAGTGGTTTAAATTGTTTGTGTGAATATCTAAAAAAAATAGTTCTTTGTATTTTGGAAGATTTTAAATGACTTATAATGTTCTGACATGGGTATTTCGATGACAAAGTGAATAAAAACTATGTTATACTGTGTCAATAGTGTTTAACAAATAAAAATATAATAAAACTATAAAGCTTGCTTACAAATGCAAAATAGTAAATGGTGGAAGGGGGGTACAAATCAAGTGTTACTTATTCTATATGTACATTATTTTTAACATATCTGTTTAGTCTCCAGGTTGTTGATTAAGGATGTGGTCTATGTTATCACCTGTTGTAATACTGTAGCCATTTGGCAGCACATAAATATTTTATCATGTAACTGAGCCATGTGCCATAATGTAAGCAGCTCCCCCTCTGTCTGTGTTCACACACTTAAATAAGTAGATAATTTCATATGCTCTCTTAACATGTTTCAGTGTCCCAGCTGCATACATTTTAACTACTGGAAAATAAAATATACTTACAAATGCCAGCTTGCAGATTAAATTCACTCACCTTTTGAGTGTCTGTCTGTGTTGATGGACACTATTGTCTCTCAATTAAATGGCACGGCTGAGTGAGAAAAACCGGGCCGAGTTAGATTTATTTGTAATTTACCACGGAGCTGTTGCACCAGTTTTGTGAGCACAGTGGCAAATTACAAAACACAAATCCATGTTTTTAACTCTGTTTATAAGTTTCCAAATGGCTGAAGTGTTACAAAGTCACAGTTGTATTGACCTCTGATTGTATACTGCTTTCTATACAACTCACAGACATCAACAAAAGTGTTAACACTACATTTCTGTAAAATGTGTTATGCATTGCAATTTTTCTTGCATGTTATATGAAAACAGTTTGATATATCTTTCTCTGTGTCAATTTGGATAAATATCTTATTAGCACAACAATTACTACTTGTTGACTCATACATTTGAGTAAAAAAGTTTTACATCATTTACAATTACGAATATCTAAAACGCCTACCTCCGTTATAATTAAAATAAATTGTAGATATTTATTACTTTGACATTCAAGAGATTTTTTCCCCGTGTGATAAGTGACATAAAAACAAATTATATCTACTGTGATTCACAGTTGTAAAACAGTAAAACATAAAAAAGTCCACAGTGGGTGGATGCTTTAATGAGTATTGTATTATTGCTTTAGTTCTTTCTTTGAGTTACCAGCTGCTCTGCTTTTAGCTTCCAACATGAGCTTACACAAATAACCTGTACTGCATACTGAAGGTCAATATGTTAATCACAGAGGGAGGGAGTGTGTCTGTTATTTGGCATGTGGATGCGTTGTGTGGGTGAGTGTGTGTGCATATGCGTCTGCAGACTGTTGCTTGTGTTTTGGCACCTTGGCAACCTGCTACTGTGTGCCTAGCATTTCAGAAAACAGGTTAGAATTACATACTGACGATCGTGTAAATAATATCAGCTGAAGCTTTCACATATGGCATGGACAGAAGATATTTATCCACACTTTGAGCCATATGATCCATATGCTTTTCAGATGTTTACTGTAAGTGTGCATCATTTTAGCTCTTGATCATGCTTTTGGTCGTGTGGGTGTGGTTGTGTGTGTGTGTATCTATCCAAAGCTAAACTTGCATACTACTGCACTATAATTACATTATTATTTTTTTTTACACTGTACCTATTTTATTGACTGAGCCTATCTTCAAGCTTAGACTTTTGTCTTCTCAACAGTGTTTTACCATATTCATTACGACATAGCAAAAGACATTTCTGGCAATCAGCTAGGTTAAAATCAAGGCTTACCAAGCCATATTTTGGCCTTTGCTGTGGCTCAGAAACATCATTATCATTAGAAAAGTTTGGTCTCATCTTGAACCGGAGACGTGCACGAAACAAGATTAACAAATACCAGTTTTAGTTATCTTTACCGCCATCTTGATTGTAAGGGAGCTGGAAGGGACAATTGAATGAAAGGGAGGTTTTATTTTGTTTGATGTGTTACAACAAAATGTTCTAAATAAGTAAGAATGTTTACATTCAGAAGTTTGGACTTGCCGTTTATTGCTTATTGTTTATTGTTTCCTTATTAAAGCCAGGGAAGGTATGGAGAAACTAGTAAGAGACAGCAAGATTTTTAATGTATCCAATTGAGAATAATCCCTTACCAACCACTGAATAACTTCTCTCTGTGTAGCTCAAACACAAAGCCCATTGCTGATCCTGATTCTTATGCCAAAATACAATAATTTCTAATATTATAATAAGTGATGTTTTTAATATTGTTTGCATATGGCAAGATAATCCTTGTCCCCCTTCCTGTGGAGTGGAGCTTCACCTCCTGTATAGGTAGATGCTGCAGTTTATTCTCAGCCACTGTGCCTCCAGGCAGAGAGCCTCATTACAGTCCCATCTCTCCTCTCCAGTCTCCTCAGCAGCCCACCACTATCCTGCAGCAGCTCCCAGCGACCGTGATGCCTCCTGGCTCCGCTCCTTCCATCAGGCCTGGTAGTCACGTCAAGGAGGGTATGGCAGACTGTCACCACACACAAACTAAATCTCAGGATTTCACACTCACTTCTGTTCTTGCCTGTCTGTCACAAAATCAGCTTGCTAGCAAGCACTCAGATATATTATTTATGATACTACTCCGGAGACATTTGACAATTACATAAAATGTGTGTGCATCAGTTTGTGTGTTAGAGTGTGTGTTAAATTCATGTGCAAGTGCTGCAGCAGGTTGCAACAGGTCAGCCCTGTTTACAACTGCTAACCTCTGTAAGCCTCCGTATTTATTTACTATTTATCTTCTTGAATTATGGTCCCTGCTTGGTCCATGTATTGCGACCTGTGTATTTGCTGCTTTGCTCTGGTGCCCAAATGCTTATATGATGTCATTGACAGGGTTTCTGAATGCTTGATTGATTGTAGTTGTTGTTTTTGTCTTGTTTGAGACAGCTGGCAGACTAAAATTGAATTGCCTTACCGGGATAAATAAAGTTGTTCGAATTTAATTGAATTGATAAAGGCATCAATGGCATTTAGTTCAGAGATTCAGAGGTTAAAAATGTCTTCCAGCAGCATCTTTTTGTGACCAGCCAACACTTAATGTAATATTAATGTGTTCCAAAAACATCAAACAATTGTTACTGCGCATATGAATTTTGGAAACAGTTATCATGGCTGCCTAAGCACAAACCCGTGCTCTAACTTAAACTGAATTAAAGCTTGTTGTTTGGCACATACTATTAGTTGCAGGAAGCATTTTGGTGCAAATGCTGGAAACTAATTTGATGATTTGTAACCAGATTGTTGTCTTTCAGTGACAGGAAAAGGTAAATGGTTAGCAGATGGATCACTCTCTTTCTGCTGTCGGAAACAGTGTATTTATTCATTTATTTATAGTTTTTTGCACTGAAAATGGCCTTACCAAACTGCACATTTCTGCTGGGTGTAAAGTATAGATCGGCAGTGTCTCAGATATTAGAGATGGCACACTCTTCTCTGTTATAACAGCACTTGATGGCTGATATAATAGTGTCTATTCTACCTTGACTGCCAACTGTGTGAATTTGATTATCTCATTTGCTTTCATTTGTTGAGTTGAAATTCTGGGTTTATTAATATGGATTTGTCATTTTGTGAAGCTACCGAACAAGAAAGAACATTTTGATCCTGCAAATGATTTTCAATTTTAAAAAATGTGGCAAAAAGCACGGAAATTGACACTACTGACAAAACAATATCCCTGCAGAAGATGCAGCAGTTGCATGTTATATTTGAGAAATGTTGTCCATGAGATAGATAAGTGCCAGTCTAATCCAGCCCAACCGCAAATCACATATTACAATGACTCACATGTTCTTTGACTAAGACTTGCATTAGCTGACATTATTGCTACATTCTATGGAATTGATGTAATCCCCACAGACAGGGAAGTATCATTAAGTTTGTCTGGTTGCTGAGTGTTGCATCACGGAGATAACAAACAATTGTTGCCCAGAGATATCATTCATATTGCCTGGATAGTATTAAATAATTTATCAGGGTGACAAACATCACTTAAAACTAAAGTCAGTCATGTATTTAAATATATAGCCTATAAAATTTGATTTTAATGACAGAAGAATTATAGTAACTTGAATAGACCCTTCCTAAATCTTGGTCAGAAAGCGCATTTACATTGCTGGGAAGGAGTTAAATAATTTAGCAAGGTGAGTCACTGCCGAACAAATACTGAGCGACAAGGAGGTTGAGAAAATGAATCTTGGCAACTTACATTCACCAATAGCGGTTTGACACAATGCGGGTTAATAACCTAGTCACCCAGAGGGAAGAAGACACAATGGCAATTCCCTGCAAAGGATTAGTCAATCAGAAGATATTCAGATGCTGTGTGTGTGTGTGTGTGTGTGTGTGTGTGTGTGGGCGGGTGTAATATTCTCAACATGCAGACCTTGTAGAGCTGATGATGATCCAGAATGCCCAGATGAACCAGGTCATCATGAACAACATGACCATGTCAGCCCTCAGCTTGTTCGGATACTCCGGTTCTCCGTCGGGCCCTGCGGTGCGTACCAGATAAAGATCAGGGTCCGTTTAGTTGAGAGAATGAGTTAAGGACTTTGAATTGGAAAAAGTGAATTTGGCCATAACTTGTATTATGAAAATGAGTTTGAATGTATCACCCTTATCTTGGAAAAAGTTAATGGAATTCTTTTTAACTTCAAAACAAAATCTTCACTCCACATGAACAATTTCGGACTTCACAAATTAAAAACATGTTTCAAGACATCAGTATTGCTTTGCAGGGAGTTTGGAGGATTTGTAGGTGCTGTCGGGCGTTATAACAAAATATAGGAGTCTATAACTCATATTTGTTGAATTGCACTGGAAAACTATGGCCATAGTATGACAGATACTGGACTAAAACTTTAGCACTGAGAACTTTGTAATGATCTTAGTCTTGCGCCCAGAAATAAAGCTGGACTGTTTTTCTTTTTCAATATGTCAGACTCCCAGGGATCTGGTGATAATACAAGAGAATGAGGCTGACCCAGAGATATACCATCACTATTACCAGCCAGCCTACCCAGCATGGCTCCTGCATCAGGCCACACTTGTCTACCAAGACCCCAACAAACCTGACTCTTCTCCACCACACAGAGACAGGTGATCAGAGCTCCTGCGTGGCCGTTAAATTTAATTTTAACTCATTATTGGTGGTACAGAGAATTAACTGTCAGACAAAGTAAAAAATCAAACGTGCATTCATCACTCTGAAACAACCTGAAAAGTAATCAGATGTATTTTCCTTTAAGAGGCAGTTTGCATGAAATCATCTCCTTCTGGCACGCTGAGATGGTTTCATAGCAGGCCCCAGAATTAATTTTGACAATCAATGAGGTTTCATTTAAGAGAGGCTCCACTGTGTGCTGCAATTTCAACCAGTGTATTCTTCCATGAAAATCATTCCTCAAGCTTACTCATGCTTTGGAGACAATGGGTGATCATTTCTTCAGGTGTGGCTTTCAGGACTTTAATTTAAATGAATCGGTGTGTGATGTTGTAGATTTTATTATCTTAATCGAGGGCAAATATTAGGCAAATTTTGCAAGAAATCTATTTTAAGGACATTCTTTATAAATCTCACATTAGTTGAGCTTCTATGGTAAATGTTTCAGGTAGAAGGTCTGCGTTTCCTAATTTATCACCTTGATGAAATTAATTTGAGATTAAAGCTTGTTCCAGAATAGAGAATAGATGTTTGGAAAGTTTGAAACAGAGTGATATTTCTGCACCTTAAATTGAGGTTACAACTCATGTAACTCATAACAACACATTCAGTACAGCTCACCAAAACCTATTTTTATGAGACATTTCAGGGGAGGAAGAACGGAGATGCATCATGTCTACCGGGCTGTGCTTGAAGCACCTGTTCTTACCCTTTCAGCAACAGTCAACACTATTAGAAAAGTAGAAAAAGTAGCTGTAAAAGAATTGTGCGTATACCCTTGAAAATCTAAACTAAGCTCCTTTCTGTCACACTTTTATGAGACAATGAGAAAGACTTCCCATCTCTCTCTGCAATTTTGAGTCCAGAAAAAGACTCAACATTGCTAAATAGGTTTAGGAATAGTACCTAAGCATCTGCCATCCATTTACTAAACTGCAAAACTGGGTTTTAGATCACTGCACTGCATTATTATTGGGCTTTGGACTTTTGATCATTGCTCATTCATACCACATGAGCAAAGGTAAAGGTAAAAGGTGCGTAATACACTGATGAATAGCTTTATGTCTTGTGTGACCAGGCATGCTGCCCCTCCTCCTTCCCCACACAGCGCCACTGTGACTGTGGGAGTCAACGTCACTCCCGCAGCAGGTAAAAACAACCACACAGCAACACCGAGCCAACAGCCGATTAACACAATCTGCTCCCGTGCTGTCATAGTGCACTTCAAAGCAGGGTGACAAGAGAGGTGACAACAGCAAGTTTCAAGTAATTAGGATGTGAAGGGTGCTGACTGGGGATGCTGCTAGTGATTGTGGTGCTGTTGATTGTGAATGGCTGAAGAGATGAATTCATCAGATGCTTTAGATTTGTGTAATGTTTTATATCTTGTTTTTTTTCTATAGAAAACAACAGTGCTGCTGTGGCAGAAGAAGAGAAGAAGAGAGAGCAATGATTAATTCACTGACCAAATGTATTTTTTCATGGGCACAAGTAGGGAAAAAACAATCTTGAATTTATTTGTCTTCACTAATAGATTTATGATTTCATACTTATAGTTGATATTGTCTTAAGTATTACAATTATGTTCATTTACAATAGATGAAACAAGCGAATAAATATGATATTGTGTGTTTGCTGTGTGTTTAAAGACATATTCATACCTTTACTTTGTTCAACCTGCATTACCCATATTATCCAGTAGGGAGCAGCAACAGATGTGAAGTGGAATGGCAACTATACCTCAGCTACACAAGATGTATTCCTGTAGTGACAAGCACTCACTGTGACTCTGCATGCTATAGTGATGATGTAGGCCACATACCACTGTGGGCAACATAGCAAGAGTGTGACACCATATAAGATGTATTGCTGTGTAACACTGTGTGACCTTGTCTATAAATACGCTGTGATGAGTACTTAGAAGGATTAGAGGAGGCACACTACTCAATCCCTACAGGTGATGACAATATAGGTAACAGAATTGAGAAACGTGCATGAAAATAGGGCCATTTGCAAATGAAACTGAACATTTTGGCTATGTTTAAGTACAAAAATCAGGTGAAGCATTTGAGTGTTTTCCTTACTGGTTCAAACTCAGGTAAAGGAAAAAGTGTTGAGTTAATGTGCAGTGAGATTTGCATTAACTTGCTTGCAGGTTGAGTTGCCAAATAGGATACAGTGAGCTCCATGTAGCCGAGACAGCTGAGGCATAGGAAAGAATTTCAATGTCAATTTACTAGATTTGTCTGTGACAACAGATGCCATCACAATTCCCACATTCCTTGGCATCTACTGAAAATAGTTTCAGGGTTTGGAGGTTCATTTGGAGTTTGGACTGTACTGTGACAGTGCAGGGTGGGGAACACAGAACTTCAGCAGCAGTGTGGGAGGGTAATTTTAAAGATGGGGGTGAAGGCAGCACACCCAAATCTCTGATAAAACACAAGGATTAAGAGCTCAAATGGGAAGAATGTGCCAATACGGCTGTCTCTCCACTGTCTCCAGGGTAATGCCAATGTTTACCCAGCTATTAATATCAAACCACCACACACTGCCTATCATAGAGACACGAGCAAGAGTGGCAAGAAAGAGGGGGGGACAGTAGGTCAGAAGGGGTTAAAGAGGCAAATACATTCAGAAGGAATGAGATTTGAGAAGGGCAGCTAATGGCAGAACAAATAATTGATCAATTAGATTGAGTAAGTTGTAGATTTAGAGAGGAGGCGATGCATTGCATCCATTAAAGCACTGCACAGTAACAAGGGAACAGTGTTGAGGACAAACACAGGAGGTGGAACATGAAAGATAAATGAGGGATGTAAAATGGTGACGTGGGGATTGTTCACAGGGTGGGGGGCACTGTCACAGTATGTATGTATCCAAATTATGGAAATACAGATACCCAGTTATTTATTGCAGCCTGTCTGGCAGCTTTATCTTTATCATGGTGCCTCCCAAAATGTATTATTTTCCATATTAATCAGTTCCTTTGTTTTGATTGTTTTTTCATCCTCCGTATGGTTTACGGCTGCTGTTATTCACGTATTCTCTTTTTATTTATATTTTTTATCATATCATTGTTTAGGCTCAACTCATTTTTGCTGTGGTGATATTCATCCCATTTTCTCTTTGTCATATCCAATTTTCTTCTGTCCACAATATCCTCAGGGATCAATACAGTCTAAAGCACTCTGTTACACAGTGTTGTACAGTGATGAACCTGCCTAAAGCTGCAAGATGGTGTTATTAGGCTTATAACAATGCCTTTGCTGCTTAGCTCAGCTGTTACTGCCTGGTCAGAATCCTTGTAACCATGTTGCATTGAGCTTTGACCAATCACTCAGGTTTGTATTTTATCAGAACATGTTCATGTTGCATCCGAAAGAGAACACAGTGGCATAGGAGTGAAAAGCAGCTGCGCTTTTATTAATAAAAATAATAAATATCTAGGAAATATCTAGAAAAAATATTTTAACATCATTGCACACATTTCATATTCATTTACACCACAATGTATTCTCAGCTAATACAGTATTTGTTCCTCTATCATATATATATATATATATATATATACTCAACCAACAAGGCAGATCAGTTAATTCAGTTAATACACAGTAAAGAACAGGTTATTCGTTTTTCTAAATCCCCTTAATTAAAAGTGTCAGCCGGCATACACACACACCCAAAGGGACACACACATATGTGCAACTGCAGTGTGTGATCAGGCCAGAGCATTCTGTACTCTTCACGGAGATCAGAGAGTGTCAAGGGCTTCCAGAGGCCTGGAAGTTGACCAACTCCAAGGCATGTTCCCCGACCCGTCACCCCTCCCCTTCCCTTCTGACTCACCCTCTTTCTTTCCTTACAGTTCAAAACGTGTCTCTTCCTTTTGGACATTATTTTCCATCTGTCAAGTTCTGCTTCATTGCAAGCCTTTACCACCAAATACAAATATAATCCATGAATCTGACAAACCTCATAACACTTACATTTACCTTACAAGAATATTTGTACTTCTCAATACAAAAAAAGGCAAAAGAAATTGCCTGCAGTGTGGTTAATGTGCACCAGTGCATGCAATTGTTGTGTGGCAGTAATTCCACAGAGAGATCAGCAGATATGGTGAGGGCAGCTGGCCAGCACAGACAGAGATCAGCCTGTGGCACAGCTGAGAACACACACAGTGCCTCTCCATCACAATGCGAAGGCTTTCACATAACCATTTCTAATACCACTCACAACCAAATGCCAACAATGACAAAGCGTGACATTTACCTGGTGCTGTGTTTGCCAAGAAACACAGATAGAGCTAAAGATCTACAGTATTTAGGATTTTTGATGAATGTCACTAGAGATAAATCTATAAACACCTTGTCATGCTCTTTCCTGAATCACTCTGCTCAATGACTATCCTTTCCCAGCTGTCACCCTTCTCGCCTCTCCCTAATATCTCCTCTTTCTCTTTTTGTTTTCTACCCTCTCTGGGCTTCTTGGGACATGGAGCGACCCAGGGCTTTGGGATCTTTGGCGAACTCCATGAGGGTTGGCTTGACTGGGGGGAGGTCTCTTGTGATTTCGTCCACGGTCCTCTTGCTGGGACAGACTCCGTCTGGGGTGGGGAAGGGCTGCAAGTCTTCCTCTGTGTGTGGGGCTCCACGTCCAAGCCTGACACCCAGCTCTGCAGGGGTAAAGATGGGCAAGGGGAGCGTTTTTCTTTTTGGCAGCAGCTGGTGCTCCCTCACACCTCTTTCCACAGTGCCCACTCTGAAGACCCCAGAGGGGCAGGTCTGCATCAGCGAACGGGCCTGCCACTGCCGGGACAGAGTCTCCCTTCGAGAGTTGTCATTCATGTTCATTGTCTGCCTGCAGGCATCAGAAAAAAGGTGAAGTTAGAAACTGTAGGAGCATGCACTGTGATTTACCTACTTGATTAGACTGCTTCCAATACGAGAACAGTTCTAACATGAAGTGCCCAATAAATTAGTCTGATGACTGTAAGGAAGAATTTAATTCACTGCCACAATGTTATTAGTAGAAACCTGTTTCTTCTCATTCACCGGTGACAAATACCACATAAAGTGGACTGGCAGAATGTTTTCTTGTTGGCCTGTGAGTTCTCACCTGTCCTGAGGTTGAGTCTTGAGACTGAGGCTATGCCAGTCAGCACAGTAGCTCTCCCTCTGAGCCCTGTTGTCCTCCCGCACGCTGCAGGTCAGCTCAGCTCCCACCACCATGCCGTTATGCTTCTCCAGAACGGTACAGACTGGCATCATCGCTGCTGTGTGAAGAGCTGTCTCAGATTTATCACCTCCAATGGTTCTTGTGGATCACTCTAAAGGTCTGGTGATGCGCCTGTGATGAGACTGTTTGTTCGAGTAAACGGTGATGCTTCAGCTAGCTTTTTCACCTGGCTTCCACCGCCTGTCTGTCTGTCTCTCTCTGTCTCTTTGTGTTGTTTATGTCAAGGCTCGGGTCCATCCACGACTTTTATAGACATCCTGTTTCTATTTCTGATCCATGTTGTCACTCTACAATCAGTGTGCTCTGACATGCAACACCAAGTGCTCCGTGTCTCATTTCCCAAGAGCTGGAAGCCACTCTGAGAAGGGGTTAAGCGTAATTGGGCTAAAAATCCCCTGATTCTCAAATTGTATGCCAAGTCACCTCTGCAATCACTCAGCCCAACACTTTCCACTTCAGCTGGGATCACAGTGTCTTAGAGGGGAGAGTATCACGGAGACAATCTGTCCTGAGATTATATAAACATGTAGACAGACACACACAACAGGTTTAGTCTACTGAGAGGAATCTTAATAAGGTTTTGGTCTTGATGTACATGAGACAGCAAGAGACACCGTGCTAATGTGGAAAGATAACAATGATGCAGCTGTTTTTCATACACAAAGGATATTTCAGGCATGTAGGTTAAATATGTATGGTTCAGAAATAACACATCAGTCACTTTGAGATAAAAGGTGAAACTCTAGAGAACTTTATGGAGTACCCTGCTGACTTTTAAATCATAATACAGTTCAGAAGGAGTTTATAACTGTGCCTTTTGATAACATCAACCCCCCTTAATGGATGCCTTTACAGTGCGCTGCCTCACAGTAGCAGTGAGAGCTCCATCCTCAGTGATTCATTACCTCGGTGACAGAGCACCACGCAAGCTAAAATCAACTCAGGTTACAGACTGTGAAACACACACATACACATGCATACAAACACTCACTCTTGACAGTTGTCTGCTGGTGTGGTGTTACTACCAGTCTCTGTCTCTGACTCATTCATCCACATCAGGAAGTCATATCATCAGATAACAAATATCACATATCACATGGAGCATAATTACTCTAATGACAAAAAGCTTGACCAAGCACACTGCCCAATTTCTGTCAAATTATGACATTAAATCTGTAGCTGTTTCACTGCATACATTCACGTTTAAGTCTAAATGACTGCCCTTTCCACTGACTATTCATGCCCTGTATATCTAATGTAAAAGTCTGCCTGTCAAGTACAGCAATTTTTCAATTTCCTTTCTGTAACTTTTCAGCAGGGTGATATTGCATTTCTAAATTATTGCTCAGTATCAGAGAGAGCGACAAGAGAGGAAGAGCACCGTAGGCGTCCCTGGGGTCATGCGTTCAGTCATGTTATGACACCATGACAACCGTGAAATGCCATTTCAGAAACCTAGTAAGTCACTTAGTGTCCTCGGGTCTTTCAGTGCTGAGATCATATCTTTTTAGAATCAAATTAATCCTGAGCAATCCAACTAAAATAGATAGTTTACTGAATGAAGCTGTTGTAATTTGGGTATTCACCTGCTAAAAATGCAAGGAGACATCAGATGACTTTCACTTATTTGCTGTTTATGGGTGAGTCATGCTATGCTAATGAAGCCAGGGGCTCTGTAAAGGTGAACAGTGATGAGGTGAGGCCTGTCACAGTGATCCCCCCCCTTCGTCCTTCTCCCTCTACCCGCACCAGGCCACGCCCCGGCCAGGAACAACTTTGTTGTTGCATAACAATACTGCCGCAGCTGCTGAGAAGTGACATTTAAATGAGCTGTCACTGAGAAAGAGATGGGGAATGGGAGGGAGGAGAAGGGCAATTGCAGGATAAAGTCTGGGCTGCCTGGAGATGGTAAATAAGGCAAAATGTTGTGACGTTTGAGTAAGTTGGATTTTTATTTGTGACAGAAGAATGAATTTGAGAGGACAGAAAGGAGCCTCCTACACCAGTCATCCTGACACAAAGTGCTTGCTTTGCAGTAAGAGGAATCTTAGGCAAAGTAAACTTTCTATTGATTCCTGCACACAATCTGCAACTCAACTCTAGTGCTTCATACCAGCACCAAAGAGTCAAGTGTACCATCTATTTGTGTGTGTGTGTTTGCCAGCAGGCTGGTGCCGTGTTCAAACATGTGCCCTTAGCAGTGTCTCTATTACATAACGACAACAACAAGCAGCAGCTGACCACCAAAACACCATCATCACCATCCATCTTGCAACCCAGTCTGGTACCAGTGGGATTCTCAGACGCCAAACCACCAGTCCAGGATTCGCGGTATGTCTGGAGATCACAGTGTAAGCCAGCCATCGGTACACACAGGCCACATGTGGGCATATGAACAGGATGAAGAAGACTCTTGTACTCAACTTCAAAGGAATGTTGCTCTCGTGTCACAGTTTCTGTGGATTCACTGCTCAATACTCACTTGACTTTATCGCAGCAAATTCTATTTAAGTTTCAGTTTGAAACAGTCATACAAATTATTTTATTCTATTACATCATTTGAGGCAGCTCTGGGAAGTTTTCATACCATTGTGTGAAACTGTACTCATAACAATCTTTAGGATGGAGCTTTATTTCATCATGAACTGGACACCAGAACACATACACAAACTGCCACGCGAGTTTGGAAATCTTTCACATTTTCAGTAAACTGCTGGAGGGAAAAAAACACCCTCATGCACCACCTAAAAGTCACCTCGGTCACATACACAACCACTTTGAAAGTTCAACATACACCAACCACATTGTATTTCCAAAATGTTTAAAGCCAAATACAGACGTTAATGAGTCACAAAGTATCGAGCATACAAACACACATACTTGTGAAACTTTTAAGAAAAATCTGACATCAGATTACTGGGCTATTTATTCAGTGTGGTTACCAATCATGTGATTGAAGGAAACAAGTGCTGATAATCATAGGACAAAATATAAAGAGGCTCTGCTCAAAAGAACATCGCTACCCTGAAGGTTCACAACAGCTAAACAATGAACAGGGTCAGAACTTCATAAAACTCTTTGGTAGACAAAAAAAAAAAAAGAGTCAGACAGTTAACGCCTCTAACATTTACCTGAAAATCTGCTAAACCCTTTTAGATTTTGACAAGAGAAAACAGAATAAGATTCAAGGTGTGCAGATGGGGGAGAAAAAAAAGATATTGTTTAGCCTAAAACTTCCAATAAGACAGCAACACTGTATGAGGCAACAGACACTTAAAGGCAAGAGCTATGCAATTCCATCATACAGGTCTCCAGGGTTGATGACTACTGCCCCCTGCCTTGCTTCTATTATTACTGCAGCCAGGAGATCTTAGGATCTGTCACTCAAGTTTCCATCTTCTCTTCCACTGTCTTCTTCTTCATCATTGGCTTGTCCATTCATGGCCTCTACCCTGGCCAGCAACAGCGGCAGGTTTATGGCAAGGCCCGGGGTCTCCTCATCAGAATCATCCTTCGGAGGATAGAAACGTCTTGCCTTTGCCAAAAAATCTTCAGCTATGTCAAGGTACAGGAGACGATCCTATGAAGAGGCAAAGAAGGAGAAGAAGTGGGTGAAGCAACCGACGCAGTGGGTGAAGCTTTAGAGATTAGTGTGAGTTCAAAGTTAATTATCACTGTGATTCCCCCTGACAAACCCCTGCTCTCACCAGGATGAATAGATATCTTTCTGGTGGTGGTTCTCTGGAGTTAAAGATGGAAGTCTCAGAGTGGAGAGTATGAAGCAGGTCACGTGCTGCTGGGGCGTTACGCATGCGGTCCTGTGAGGTTCCAGCAGACACTGTCAGCAAAGATTCTGCCTCCGCCATGAAACCTAGAGAGGAAGGCAAACCGTTTCTGGTTATCCTGTATGTAGAAGTGACAATCTTTCTTAAATTTCATCTGTCAAGCGTTACCTAAGTTCTCCAGGATTGTCTGCCATTTGTCTCGGACTTCACGACGGGTGTCTCTCATGGCCTCTATGTCAACACTCAGACGGCGGTAGCCCTAAACAAGAAAATGCTTTCAAAAAACTATTTTCTTTCAGCCTAGGCTACTTTCTCTAATAGGAGGGGCTGCTCTGGTCTACTCTTGTGTAACTGGACAATTTCATCATTGTCCTGCTGACTTATGGTTTAAATAAGTGATCATAATGATTTTATAAGGCTCCAGATAAATTATGATTAATGGTTTCGTCTTTTGCACTTATTTGACATGTTTGCACCTTGTGTAAATACATTTCATCTTTTTTTGCACCAGTTAGCATGATTTTGGGTTATTTTACACTACTGTGCAAGATGCAATTGGTTTCTTTTTTCAACCTCAGATTATCGGGACTGAATGAAGCCTCACGACTCTATTCTGTGAACGGTCTAGAAAATCCTCCCTCACATACCGAGGATCCCATGCGGGTCTTGTTCCTGGCCTGCAGCAGGCTGTAAAGGACCCGGTCGTCATCTCTCTCTGAGTGGCTTGGGTCTCCGGGCTCACTCCAAAGGTTGGTCTCCTCATCTCGACGCTTCTGGACTTCACGATTAAAATACTCCAACGGATCCTGACTGTGTGGTCGGCCAACACATACAAGCACCCAGAAGCACAATTATTACACATTCATATAGTGATACATAATATATCAGATGTAATAATAACTTACTAACTCTATAAAATACATATTCAGTGGATTATATAATTCTCTAGGTGACAAGTTGAACTGTGGATGATAACAACAGCAATACTAATTAAAGCAGTACGCTGTGAAGTATTTTTCTGTCTCTGGCCTGTCTAATGTCTTCTTACGGTACTAAAGGCTGCTTTTCATCTTCATCGTCGTCGGCAGTAGCACAGCAGCAGCAGCAGAACTGCATGCAGAACCTCTTAAAGGCTGAACCCATCTATTAAGAACAGAGTCAATTGGGTAGTAGGAGTCCACAGTGGCAGGTAATCCAGGTGGAAGCTGTGTTTCAGTTCAAATGGCAGAACAACTTCCTTGGTTCTTGAAGCAAATGTCAAGTGGTAGTGACGCTGGTCTGATATGTATGAGCTAGTTTGCTTTACTCCAAAATGCCACTGTCCCCCTTGTAGATGCTCTGAAGAGATTCCTTAGAAAATTGACTTTATTCACAGCCTATATTTAAAAAACAAAAAAGATATGGCAAAGTAAGAAAAGGCAGCTGTCACAACATTTATGTGAACAACAGTTAAAAGTAATAAAACAAAGTTCAATGATCCCCAAACTCTACCTAATTTGCAGCTTCCCATTTTTCACGACTCCACATCTAGTAGAGGTTTGTTCTGCAGATCATTAGCCAGGGCCTGTCCGGGTGCAGAAGCTCAGGCAGATGGCAGCCCAAGGACTGGTTCTTCTCATCAGCCTTACATGAAACACAATGAGAGCAGTGAGATGCTCGCTCTCTCATCGATTCAAAAAACACAGTAACACATCCACAGCCTCAGAAGATAAGTCACAGCATAATCATGTGAGCATTGTGTTTTGCCCCAAGGACAACACAGCTCTTCAACAGCAGGTCTTATTACACACTCTGTATCCAACCTACCAGTTTAAGGATTATTTAATTTCAAAGTGTATAGTTACTGAGATTACTTACCATGAATCTGTGTGAATGTGGTTAAATAAGAATCTTTGAATGGACTGCTTTGAATTTCTGAAAAAAACAAACAAACAAACAAAAAACATGGCTTCATATCCATGGATTCTGTTTAAAAGTCTGTAGAGAAAAAGCAGAACTCTGGAAGAGCATTGTGAACACTGTAATGCTATTGGATAATAATGTAAAAAGTCCACAAGCCAGTAATTCTGGAGAGTTTAAGATCGAGGCTATCACGCATGTGAAATAGGCTCAAGTCACAGGGTATTATTGTTCATGACATAAACATCCCCCGGACCCATCCATCCATCCATCGTCAACCGCTTATCCTGCGTACAGGGTCGCCAGCCCCAGGATCCAATGCTTGAAAATAAGCGGTGATCAGTATGAATCAGTCACCATCACCTGCTGAAATGCATTCACAGTGGGGGGTGAGGGGTAAAAACAATGTGTATCATTATGTAGATTAGATAAGTCATTGAATGACTGAACCATGGTCATGAGTTCATATATTTTATTAGATATAAGACACTGGTTAAGACTCAAAAACTGTTGGTCAGTATTCCTGTAATGGCTTTAAATTAACATGTTTGATGAATGATCTATTGAAAAATATCAAAAACTATTATTAAAGAAAACAGAAACTGAAGTACTCTTAGCAGGCTTCATTTGCATTCAGAATACTTTTGCTGAAGGTATTAAACATTGATTTACCGGCATTAAATAAATGCAAAGAAAAGGCTGACATGTAATGTTACTGTGATAAAAGGCACCAAATTACTGATCTCACCAATTACTTTCATGACATCCCCTCTGTACAGTATGTAGCTAAAATCAGTCCTGACAAATGATTCAGTTAAATCTCAATAACCAATTGTTTTTGATGTCAGAAGAAGGAATAATTTCAGACTGTGATTGCATCATCCACCAATACCTGGGCTTACAAAGGAAAATGCCTCAAGGCCGTGTGACCATGTTGTGAGTGTGATGCGGTAAATTACCACAGTCACATCATCACAGTTACGCCCATAAACGTGCTCCTTCAATGTGTGAACAATTCAGCAAAGTTGTTTCGCGCCTAATATCTCGTGAAAAACACACGGAACAGATGACTCTCTTTGGTTCAACTCTGCAGCCATTTGCACCAATAGCCAGACCTCAGCCTTTTGCCTGTTACCATTACAATGACAAATTGTGATTTTCTGAGGTACATCATAACACTGAAGTGCAGATTTTGAAAGACTAACTTGACAAGCTGGAAGCAATATTTCTAAATCATCAAAAACAACATAATGCATGATGTAAGAAAACATAGGAAAACCTCACTCAGTGCCATATCTCAGGACCTGAAGGGAGGCCAGCACTAAAGACAATGGAACTCATGAGTACAGTAATAACGTTTGATGACAAATAATGAATTCAGCTATTCTACCACAAGGCCACTTCAGGTTATTGGCACAAAAGATAGCTTTAGTAAGGATACTGCAACCTAAATTATGAACATTATCTCCATGACTTTGATAATGCATTTGCTACACAGATGATGAAGTCCAGGCCGATCCCAAAGTACAACACTACAGCAGTATTAAAAACCTTCAGCAAATGTTGAATAAATGTTTGCTGATAGATTTTTGCACCTTGGGATAGGGGGCAATATCAAACCAAGAGGATTTGTGTGTGTGGATCAGTGGTATCTCCCTCTAGTGGTGGTTAGACTACATGTGACGTCTTTCTCCATCTAACACAGTGTAAGTAAAAGACAATAAAACAGCTTTTACCCATTCAAATTAAGTGTTTGTTTAAAATATGGCTGTGAAGTGTGTATTTTTTATTTTTTATTTTTTTTTAGGGAGGGTGCACCAGAGAAGAATATTTAAGATGCAGTGAAAACATACACACAAAAGCAGCAAGTCAAAGGCTAACAATGTGTGCAGTCAGATAAGGCTCAGAGAGACAGCTGCTTCATGGCATCGCACCAGTTCTTTTGTAACAAGCAAGACAAGTGCCCACACAGAGAATCATGTACACCCTCATCCAGGCTTTCTTGTAGTAATGTCCCCCTGCCACAAGATGACTTGGCAAGTTCAGGAAACACAGATCTCATTGCACAGTGAGAGAAGCAGCAAAACACTTACAGGTCCACATGAAAATATGTATGTGATCACTCTTAAAAAACATGTTGAAGTTTATAGATGAGGAGGGACATTGTCTTTGATAACCGAATTACTCCAGTTCTCCTGTGACTAAAATGTGGCGAATGTATGGTCACACGTCTCACATCTCCTATGCTTAGAAGGGCAGTCTTACAGTAGCACACTGCTACAAAAGTGGAGAACGGCTGTAGACTTCTCTCCTGTTTTAGGTGTGGTGGTGGGAACGGTGAGAAGGCAGTTCAGTGATTCGTTGACGTAAATGGGTCATGAATTCAAACATGGTGGCCGCCAGACTCTGGTGGATGAGGTAGCGAGGCAGTCGGCCCTGACGAGACACAAAAAGGGAGTGTTAATTGTGTGCTTCCATTTATGCATGTGTTTTTCTGGCTCTCATCATGGCTGTATTGACAGCAGTCTCATTCTGTGATTCCACCACACTGATCCAGAATATTTTAACATCTACACTGATGACATTATTTACAGATATTCATCGTTTCTGACGTTAACATTTTGCTCACAGCACTGCGGTGCCCAAGTGCGTGCACGCACACGCGCGCACACACACACACACACTATCCATGCTATCTAAGCATCTTGGTAAACCACACCTTTGAGGTGGATGGATTATCTCGGCAAAGGAGAAGTGCTCACTAACACAGATTTGTGAACAATATATAAAATAATATGAGAGAAATAGGCCTTTTGTGTACATAGAGAAAGTCTTACATCTTTGAGTTCAGCTAATGATGAATGGGGGCAAATACAAAAGTGTTGCGTTTATAATTTTATTCAGTATATATATAAAACATTTATAATTATTTTTATGAAGATTTTTTCAACTTCAAAACCATATAAACTTGAACGCTCACTGGAGTTAATCATTTTCAGGCGACAGGTATTTGTGTAATGAGTGAGGGTGTGGCGAAAGTGGATCACACCTTCATCATGGTGTACATGATTATTAGGTGTTACTTAAGGTAAAATGGGCCAAAAAAAGAGATTTAACTGACAATGAAAAGACGGATGCAAAATTCTTGAAGTAGCTAAACTTTTGAGGTGTGACTACTGGACAATCAAATGAATAGTCAACTGGGGTGCAAAAAGCACATAGAGAAGAAAAGACACAAATTAACTGCAAAAGACTTGAGTAGAATTAAATGTGAAGCTACCAGGAACCTATTGTTCTCCAATGCCACCATTTTCCAGAACTGCAAACTACCTGGAGTGTCCAGAAGTACAAGGTGCTCAGTACGCAAGTACTCAGAGACATGGCCAAGGTCAGAAAGGCTGAAACACAACCACCACTGAATAAGATTCACAAGTTGAAGCGTCAAGATTGGGCAAAGAAATACCTGAAGACACATTTTTCAAAGGTTTTATGGACAGATGAAGTGAGAGTGACTCTTGATGGATCAGATGGATGGACCCGTGGCGGGATCACTGATGGACACAGGGCATCACTTTGCCTCAGGAACCAGCAAGGTGGAGGAAGGTACTGTTATGGGCAGCTTTCATTAAAGATGAGATAGCTTTTTGGGCTGAAGATGGACTAAAACTCAACTCCCAAACTTACCGCCAGTTTCTTTAAGATACTTTCTTCAAGCAATGGTGTCAGAAGAAGTAGTTTTCAAGAAGGCCATTTTGAAAAGCAAAAAATTTTATTTAATTGTCATTTTGTGTTGTTACACTTCCTCTAAAAAAAAAAGGGAATAAACAAGTAATCTGGTAGAAATTTTGTTGCCTAATAAATCTGCACATTTATTTATTCTCCTGAGCAAGACAATACTCTTAGTTAAACAGGTTTGGGTTCAATTATATTTTGGATTGACTGAGAGTATTGTGTTTGTTCAACAATAAAATTAATCCTGACGCATACAATTTGCCTAATAATTGTGCATGCAGAGTTTATTCTAGTACAATTACAGATTGAGTCATGTTTAAAACCAACATTGGCTCTATTCGCATTCTATTTTTCTGCAACCTGTCACCATTTGCTACTGCAACAACCCCTTTTGTAAATTCAGACAATTCAAATATTAGAAAGGGAATGACCATCGCATCTTGCCAGAACAGACCAGAAAATGGTAGAACTGTAGTGTGTATTTTCTCACCTTCAAGTCTGTGTTTAGGACCCAGATAAAGGTGCAGACGGAAGGGTTACTGCTGGATTTGAGTACCACAAATCCCCCCGGACCGTTCTCTCCCCTTAGGCCAGCAATGAAAAGTAGAAGAAATTAAACTAACACAACTGCACTTTTATCAAATCAATACAATTTTCTAATTTACAGGATCAGTGACAAGGAAACCGACTAGAGGCATGGCCTGACCTGACATAGCGCCCGCTTGGAGGTTTGGCGTCGTGATCAGTTGCCATGCCAGCAGACAGGTAGCAGTCTCGTTTGCGTTCCACCCGGCGAACATTAACAAAGTCCCTAAAGGAAGAGAAATCAATCAGGCAATCAATTTACTTTATTTCAGAGCTGCAGTCCTCATGAGAGTAAGATCAAAAGACAGAACATGAGAAGAAAATATGACAGATAAGAAAAATCCATATATTGAAGCCTGCTGTACGCTCTGCTGATGTACCTTGCAGAAACTACGCCCCCTGCTGCTCCAGAGGAGACATCATATGACACCAGAGTGTTGTCATCAACCCTCTGAAGGATCTGTGGAGAAGGCAGAAAGCACTGTTGTTCGGCACAACACAACTAAACAATAAAAATATATATATATAAATGTCAAAGTCATCACCTGGCAGGCAGAAATAGTTCTGTTCCACTGGACCATCTTCTCTGGTTGCAGAATCACCTCCTGATATACAAGCTCAGCAGGGCACTGCATAAAGGCCTGACCAAAAGCAATAATACACATCAAAAACAAGTATGTCTACAGCTGTGTGTCAAGTCCACAGGAAATATGGCATTATTTCAGAGTGGCAGTAAAATCCAATACAGCATGCACACAAAAAAAAACAGTGGGTAAAAACATGGGAAATTTGACAAAAAAAACAAAAAGATATATAAACATAACCCCTAGGATTTGATTGCAAATCCACCTGCCTATTTTTACAATTTCTGTAAGAACTGAAATAAATTTAACCAAATGTGTTGGCTTTCCGGCACAATCTTGTGCCAATTTTAACCTGTAATGGCCGTTTCAAAACCAGCTATCATGTTTACAATCAGTACTCTGTTGGAAACACCCATGTTGTATTTTCCTCTGCATCTTAACAAAGAGTTTACTGTTCCAAGACATTCTGGACTACTGGACAGCCGTTTGTACAGATGGTCTTGGGACAACAAATGGTTACAAGCAACATTCCTGACTTGCGCAATACTGTGATTTACTTACATTTTCAGTCCATTTCTCTAATTTTAATGACTGTAGCTCTAAATATTTTAGTCAAGTTCGCTAAATGTATATATAAACAGAGCAAAGCTGTATTCAACCACATTCACCAACAAAAACATTTAAGATGTTTAAATTATATTCTTAGCTCTTTTAAACTATCAAGTTAAAAGGTGCCCTGTTCTGTTTGGGTAGATAAATAGATAGAAACCAAATAAAATCAATAAATTATAAAAACTCAAGTCATTCTTATAAAATGTTGTTCAATCATTTTATTTATAGTAATAAAGTTATATTCAGTGGAGTTCTTTATTGTATTGTACCAGGCAATCACATGCCCTCAGCCTTTCCCAGCTAACTAGCTAGCTAGTTACAAAAGAGAAAGACACAGTGTTTTGCTCTTCACAGAGTTGTCTCTCTTTCTCCAAAGAACATTTTTAGAATAAACGTGCTGCAGATGTACCTCTGAATTAACTAGCTAGCTGCTGTAGTTACAACTTTGATGCTAATAAAAGAGGTTCTCAAACCTACCTCTCTAGTTAGTTGGTGAAGGTAATTAGCAGGTAACTGGCTTGTAATTAAGCCTTGTTAAGCTAAATAAAATAGAGGTTAGTAAGTTTTTATTTGCAGCAGACACTCTGCTCTAGGTGAAGCTAACTGAATGGCTAAATAAATCTCATAGAAGTTGTTGTGCTTGAAAATCCAGTTGCTCTGAAGCTAGTGTAACAGCACCAGGAAGTTTCTTTAATATCTGATAATATCTACTTTAATTCTCCATTAGTCTTGATTATTTCATCACTATGCCCTTTAGAAGCTAATCAAATGTGCCCTCAACTGCAAAGTGTACTTAATTCAGTTTCGGCAGAGTGCTAAAAAGTATTGTAAAATCCGCAGTGACATACAGCCAGGCCTAATCTCTACTCACATCTGTGTTCATGTTGATCATTTTCAGATAGTTTTCAAATAAATAAATATTCATATAAAATGGTTCAAACATCAATTACTGTATGACGTGTCTAAACACGATGACAAAATACAGCATTATGGGTCTAAATATGATTCTTCTGGATCACTGCACTTGTTTTGGCGGGTGACAAAAGAATTCACAATGAATACAGAAAGGGCTGTTGTACCTTGAGAATGAAGGTTTTTCCATGGAAGGGAATCTCCAGAGTGTAGACAGAGTCTCCCATGTCCTGATATGACACAAACTGTTAGTCTCATGATGCTTTCGCTTTCTTTTCAGACTATTCACTTAGTCATGTTGCTAAAATATCTGACTTTATTAAGTCAACAAATAGCTCACGGAATCTTCTTTCTCCTTGTTGCTGTGTACAAAACATTTAATTAACCGCATAGCAAATATGTGATGTATCTGGCAGTAAGTTTTACTTTTAGTACTTTTGTTAGGGTCCATCTTTGACTTTTATTTTTATCTCCCTATACTAGCTACCCAACTGTCTAAAAGGGTTTAATTTTCATTACACAGTATATCCTGACCAGTATTTGATTTTGGAGGCAGATCCTGATTTCAATATTGGGAGTCACAACAACATAAACACAGAACTTAAACAAACAATCTTGATCACTTAGATTTTTTGTTTTTAAGAATTGTGAAGATACATACATACAATACCTCAAACCTAGCATTTCTGTACGGCAATTTTTTTTAGTTATTCAGGTGATATATACACCGATTCCAACAGATTCTGCAACTTCTTAACATTGGCTGATATACCGGCCACATCCTAATGCACAAATTTAATACCGGCTCCTGAAACATGAGCTGTTACGTGTTACTATGCAGACAGCTATCATCTATTCAGTCAGACATGCGTGAGACTGAAAACGACGTGAAGTGTGTCAGGTGTAAACAACCTGTAAGAGGCAGCAGATTGAAACTGAAGTGAAAGTGGTCTTTAGTCATGTCATGTGTCCTTAACCCTGTGTCCCAACTTAAAGGGAAAGAAGAGGCACTTCTCTATTGGGTAAATCTAATATATCGAAGCTAAATCATACACTCACATTGTTTTTTTCAAATTTCCAGTTGTCCTCCTGGGCTAGGATCTGTTCTACCACAGACATGGCTTCACGACCCTGTCTGACATACTCCTTCTCCTGGAACAAGTGAGAGGGGAAAAAAAGAGAAAGCAGAAAATCATCAGTCGAGGAGAGCTGAGTATAAAGACTCCTCAGAATGATGCAGGTACCTGTGCAGTGACAGCTCTGCGTCCAAGACCCTCCTCGTCCAGATCCTCTTCAGAGCCTGCAGACACATGTTCAGAGCCAAACTCAATTTGTCGCTCAAATCGTTAATACACAAAAGTGTGGAAAGAATTAACCCACTAAAAAACAAAAACACAAGCTGTACTTGGGGCTAATTAAACAAGAACAGGCGTATAGAGACAAGCAGACATCACCTGCGACTGATTCAGGTGGAGAGTAGAACTGTCCGTCTGAAACAGCACGGGGGTAGATCATGGGCGCTCGTTCGCAGGCTGCGTTCACCGCTGCTAGGTAGGCTGAAAGGGAAGGAGAAAAACTGTTAGAAAGGACAGAAAAAGTTTTGTTAAATTGTGTTTAAACTTGTCAAGACTCTTTCCCTCACCTCTCTCGTCATCGGCCTCCTGAGTGAGCACCTTGAAATCAAGGAACCAGGTCTCCAGCCAGGCCACCACAAACGAAGTGATAGGTAACACATAGCCAAAGGCATTCTGGGACAGTAGCTGCATAGAGACAGAAACCATGTCATCCCGAAGCTATAGGGTATTAAAAGTAATACGATATTACAACTTCCATAAGAGAAGAAGCAGCTGTACTTCACGTTGGTTTACTTCCCTATTGGTGAATATAAAAAGGGAAGAGAGCTGTAAAAAGGTCTGATATAAAGAACATAATACTAAACACCTGTCAAAACGCAGATGAGAACATGTCTTTGATCAACTGCACTGCATAGAACAATAAAATCATCTAATAATCTGGTCAGACAGCTGAATACTGGCATAAATACAGAAGTAAAGAGGTTTCAGTGGGCTCAGCTGATATGCTTGCACCACATGACCACATACACATAACTGTGAAAGTGCAGTGGTGACAGGAGAGGGGCACTCACATTAGATATGATGACCTTAACAACAAGGAAGACGCTGGTCACTAGAGTGGTAACCTGTAGAGGAAGCAGGATTTAGATTTGGGTTATAATTCATGTCCAACTCTGCTAATAGGAGTTGTTACATTATTTAATGAGTGTGTGTTTTACAGCAACAGAGCTCACTTACTGCAATAACCCACCAATGCCTTAACCGAAAAGCTGCATAACCCACTTGTAGACACAGGAAACGAAACACGGCAAGTAGCTGTGACAAGGAGGAAGGACCAGAAAATAAAAATTACCTCGGCTATTTAATGTTATCATGTGCTGCAGACATGTTGACTTGTGCTACTAGTTTCTCCTCTTGCATGCAGACATGTGACCAACTTTTACAGCACATTTAGAGACTATAAATCAGGCTATGTGACAATATAAGCCTGGTCTATTTGAAATACTAGACATGGATTACCTAAGATGGCTTAACATGAGTATTTGCTCATTTATGAGTGGCCATTAAGAGGTCAAAGCCTTTCAAACATGATAAGCTTTTGGTGTGAGAGACCTGGGTTCAATCCCCCACTGTGACCCATCCACCATTGTGTCCCTGAGCAAGACACTTAACCTTCTAGTTGCTCCAGAGGCGTGCGCTTTGGATAAAAGCGTCAGCTAAATGAATAAATGTAAATTACACACTAATACATTATTCTACACTGAATCCAACTGAAATGTACAGGAGACAAGGGTCGACACACTTACGAAGATGTCAAAGAAGGAAGACCTGTAGTTATAATGGATGACCTCATTTTCTAAGCTCTTCCAGATTGTGCTGGCGATCTGCAGGAGAGCAGAGCAGAACAGAGTCAGAGTGAGCCTTACCCATCACTGCTGCACCACAAAACAGTGAACATAACAAAAACCATGTTGATCCCAACTCTAACACCCACGTTCAGCTCAATAATCCACAGCAGGGAGATGAAGAGCAGATCAAATGTCACGAAGAGACAGAAGGTGCGGCGGACGTCAGATATGGCCCTGCGCTGTGCAGGTGGTACAAACAGGTATGGAGAAGGGAGGGACAGCGACGTGGAGTAGGAAGCGTTCAGGGAGGCAATCGCTGGAAGACTGGCCTCGAGCTCCCCGTACACTCCTCCTGGCATTCCTGCGGTGAGACAGGAAACTCTCCCTGCAATAACAAGGGAGATGAAGTTGGGGGTCTAAGTTGGTCGTTTTTATTATTACTGTCCTGCCAAGAAAATGGCATACGCTGTTCACTTAATATGGATGTAAAAACCCTTTAAAAGCAGCTCATACTTGGTCACTGTTTCCTTTACAATGTAGTTTGCTACAGTAGAACCTGAACAACAGAACATGTGTCACAGTTTTTGTTAAGGGCTGCCCATAAATTCATATTCTGAAGATTAAGGCGTGACAGTCATAGAGACTGAAAACAGGAAGGATGGAGCTAACTGAAAACCTTAAAGCATATATATTAGATCTATGATAATGAAACCCATTAAGAGATTACATAAGAAGGCACTGAGGGTCAGACAGAGCAGTGAATCTTGATTAAAACATCTCTTCTCCAGCACACAGGTTTACGGCTCTCTTGCCTTCATCAGGGCAAAATCCCAATGAAGACGAGAGAGCCGAATGTTGAATAAACAAAATTAGAGCAGAGGATACATTTCCCTCACTACTCTGCAGGCAGTCTCATGACTTTCCTCATCTCACCACAGGCCATTTCATCAGGTTTAAAAAATACCAAATAATCAATTTATTATGTTTTGATGTGTGTTGCTATATAATCTAAATAGATGAGGTTAAGATAAATGTCTTATAAAGCAAGATGTTTAAAAAGAAAAAAAAAGTATGATGACCTCTCTACATGAAGAATCACCATCTAATCGTCTACCAATGTTACATTTAAGCTAATGTTTCTCCAGTGAAGATGCAACTAAATATGGTGAGACTACAATCTGGACTACACAGATTATTATGTATCCTCTGTGTAGACAAACGTTTAGCGCTACTATATGTTTAAAGAATGGCCCATTAATCTGAAATGGAGGCTCAGATTTCTTTCAGATTTTTGCACTGGAGCATTTATTGAAGGCTGCTTGCACTTTCACATCAAATTATTCTTAGAGTCATTTCTTGGAAGAGAATTAGATTTATTTTTTTTGACTAACAAGTCTGACCATTGTTCACCCGGTGAATCACGATCAGCCAGTGCTGCAGTGCTGAGTGACTTTCGATTGTGTCTTGATCTAAACGTTAAACGTTATTCGTAGACAAGGACGTTAAAAAGTATCATGAGACATTTTTAAAGTTAACGTTATACATTCATCAGCGTTTACCTAGGACATACTTAAATCTTAAAATAATCTGATTAAATGTATTTTTTGTGATTTCAGACCCCGTGACACCTCACCTCACACCTCAAAACAAACAACAGTGTGGCGATAAGTTACTTCACTAGGGAAGCTATCAAGCTAATGTATTTTACCCCTGTCAACCAGTGAAAAAAAAACAAGACATACAGAGGGTCGATGGCACACGCTTGTAGTTCACTACTGTCAACAAACACTGATCAAACGTAGATTAACGTTAGCTGGCTAACTATTGATGCATGTTTGCTACCCCGGTTAGCTTGCGTGAGCTAACGTTAACTTACTGTTACCTTCGTTTGTAAGCAAGTTACTCTCGTTTGCTAACACCACGCAGATACAAAGACACTGTGTCTCAAGTGGACAGCTACAGGAAGTAACGCTATGAAAGCAGAAAATAACTATAACTTTAAAGCATTAAACTCACTTGGTTCACCGCAGCAGCAGCAGCATCATCGCCAACCAAGTCTTCCGGGCTGATTCGTCAAAGACTATTGCGGCAAGATGAATCACTACCTCCTCGGCTCCAACACGCCGAAAATCACGTGACCACATCACAACGCTTATCTACACATGAATAATAGATTTGAAAATGTTATTTTGGATGTATTACCGGATGTCTTAGTATATTTTGTGTCTGACTTGATGTTTGTGCAGATGATAGTTGTCATGGGTGAATATTTATTAGTTGTCAGTGTCCTCCAGTGGTCGCATTACACCTCTACCTGTTTTAAATGTATTTTGGGTGGAAGAAAGAAAGAAACAAAATAAAGTTGAACACAATCTAAGACGGAAATAAACGTCTATAAACACTTGGAGGAAAGTATCAGACTTTCTCATGTGACGGTTGGCGGGGACAATAATAAGAGCAACAGAGACACTCCATAGCCAACCATCTCACTCATACCTACGAGAGACGCTGTGCTGCTGCCAGAAGAACCCAGTGGTGGACGAAGTATTTAGATCTTTACTTAAGTAAAAGTACAAATACCACACTGTAAAAATACTCTGTTACAAATTACTGCTTAGTTTACTTAAGTAAAAGTATAATCAGGAAAATGTACTTAGTGTAGAAAAGATTCCCGTGTTATAGTATTTATTATATCATTAAATTGTTATTTTTAATTTACTGCTGTAGCCTAGTTGTTGGGGAGGAGCTCATTTTGAAGTAATGACTATTTTCATTATGAATTCCTCCGCTGATGATTTCTCCATTTCCCGATTGATTCTTTGTAAAATGTTCTGAAAATTAAAAATGTCATCACAATTACACAGCACAAAGTGACACCTTCATAATACTTGTCCAAACCTCTACATTATAACACTACATTCAAATTATTAAAAAGAAATGCGGCCAATCTACACATTTGTGAAGCTGGAACAATGAAATGTTTTTGAATGAAAAATTACTTAAACATTTTCTGTCATCCGACTAATCGTTTCAGCTGTAAGGCCTTTTCACACGGGAAGCGACACTCCGCTACGGAACGCTTGATGCTCGCGCCTCCCATCCTACACGCTCATTGAAAATGAATGCAGGCGCTTCCCGTGTGAAAAGTCCTGTACTTGTATAAACCGCTGGGTAGTTTAATTTATAACAAAACATCATGTCTTAGAAAATCTTAATTTTTGTGGGTAACAAGAATAATTTGTAAAGTAGGCCTAACTACTAAAGCTGTTAGATAAATGTAGTAGGCTAAAATAAAAGGTACAATATTTCCCCTTGAGATGCAGCAGAGTAGAAATAGAAAGAGGCATGAAAAGAAAATACTCAAGTAAAGCACAGGTACTTAAAATTTTTACTTAAGCACAGTAGGCTTGAGTAAATGTAGCCTACTGGTGGACTGTCCACCACTGATCTGCTGAGATTAGGCTACTGAGCTGCATGCAGGGGAATAAAAAAACCTGTACTATATAACAGACTTTTGTATATTTCTCACTTTCCCATCGGATGGCAGCACAGTCAGGAATTAAAAAGCTCCCAATGCCAAACGTCAACTTCACCAAGAGTAAGAAAAAGCACTATAACTACTATAACAACACTAAAACTTCCGGTGAGGACGTTCAAAATAAAGCTAAACCGATAGATAGGCCTATATACATAATATGCATTGTTTTACGGGACCAGAAATATTACACTCAAACAGTAACTTTATTTCAAAGCCTAAGTGCGGTAGAAAGATATGCTATCAATGTCTCGAATCAATTTGGTCACGATACTCCCGCCAGCTGTGTCAAACAATGCAAGATGATAAAATGTATTGTACTTCCGGTTTCGTTAGAAAATAGAATATCGCATTTAAAAAAGCCTTAAAGCTTTGGTTAGCAACTTCGGAGAAACCAGAAAGAGACAGCTAAGATTTTACAGTATTGAACCGAAAACACCCCACCCCTACTAACGCCCACGTCTCGCTCCAAAGCCACTCCCCCAAAACACATTTTCATGCGCAGTGAGTGAAGAGAAAGAGTGAGCTCAGGAAGGCAGTTAGACACACACAGGTATTCATTTAATCATTTCATTCGAACTCTGTCCCAGCTTTAATAAAGATTTGGATATCTTCTGAGAATAGCATTAGGTTAATGTTTTTTGTTTGTTGTCACACACACACACACACACACACACACACACACACACACAGATACAGATCAGTTTAAAGGAGAAAAGGAAAAGCTATTTATTTTGATATCATAGTGTTGCTCATTTTAAAACAACCACATCACATTGAGAAACAAGAAAATAGAAATAAAAATAAAGACAGAATAAGCATAAGAGTTCATACATGTCTTCCTGTGGTTGTTTTCTTCTGACCCAGGAGGAGAGGAGAGGTGGACAGAGAGCGAAGGAGGGAGGACAGCGTCGGCTGCAGAGCCTCACCACACACAACCTGCTCATCCAGTCATCCCACAATTTGTGTCAGGTCAGAGGTTGAAAAAGTTTCACACAGTTTTGATATACAAATCACACCCCTGGTGATACAAACAGCATGATGTATTCATTCTGTGGCACACCTTTAAACCCACTTATACACCAGATCTTGTATCTTCGGTTAAACTGTTAGTTAAATTCAATAGATGCTGACTAAAACATTTGAAAATCGTTGTTGACTCCCAATAAAAGGGACAAAGTGAATAGCTCTGATAAAAAGACTACAGAAAGTTTGTGTAGTGACCATTTTGCTCAAATGTCAGTCATACAGTAACTGCAGTGTCTGGTTTTAAGCTGTCTGTGTTGCATCCTATATGCAGGCTTGTGAGCTGGACATAGACACTAGAGACAGGACAGAGCTGAGCTACAAATACACTGAATATTAGCTTAGAAAAATAGCTCTTACAACAGATCCATGGAATACAAATCATGAGTGAACGATTCCAAAGATGACAATAGAAAAGTGTTAACATCCCAAAATGAGTCAACGGTATTGGAGAAAATTTTAAATTACATTGTTTGTTTCCTTAACATGAGCTCAGTTCACAATGAATCACGTTCAGACGTGTGATGGTAATGGTTGGGTTCGGTATTTCAGACAAATTAGAGGTAGCTTTGCCCTTTAAAGATTCATTTTAAGTATACCCAAATATGAAAAGTGTGGTACGAAATAACCACACACACACACACACACTCACTTTCTCATGGATTTAACACAATTATAGACAAACATGTTGGTGCTTATTGTTGAGTCATACATAAAGTGATGCTCCACTGCAAACAATATTTTTATTATAGACTCACTGGCTCTGGATTGACTTTTTGGAAAATATTACTAAGTATAAATTAAACTGCCAATAGTCACCTATCCTGCTTTCAAGAGGTTACAGTTATTATCCAAAAGATTATCATTGATATCAATGAGATGAAGTTGTTTAAAGTAATTCCAGATTACATGATGCATCATGTTGTGCATCCCTTCTGCTTAGGTAGGCAATTTGAATCCCACATGGGAATGGCAGACTGTCACTAACAATGAGAACTACTGCATAGAGATGCAATAACAGAATGTGAATACATTACATGGGTATTGGTGAAATAATGTTTTATCATAAACAGCATTAAAACTGTATTTCAATACATAAAAATATTAAGAACTATAAATTTAGGTGCTTGGATGCAAGATGGATGTTGGCTGGAGTATCACTTTAAACCTGTTCATATTTCCTACCACAAGGTGGCAGTACATACAAACATTTAATATGCTGCAAATCAGAATGATGGTGTGAACAGAGGTTTCAAAATAAAGTGGAACATATACCACACATATTTAAACATTTTTACAGTCTGTGTTAACAATGTGCCCAAGAGACATGTGTGTGAGTTATTTTGTAAGTATTGTCCTCTTTAAAGGAACATTTAGCTTTGTGCAGAAGAATCAAGGTAGAGGGAGAACTGGTCTTACAGGGTATTTGGTCATGTTGACCTTGGCCCCTCCACTCTCATTACAAACAAAGGGACATTGTGGCCAAAGTGGCGTCTGTAGTCTGCTCTGTCAGTAGATCATTCCTCACCTGCTCATAAAAGCTGACCGCTACTACACAAACTCCCTCTCTGTGCTCTCTTTAATCCACTGCAGAAGTCTTTGCTAACTCACATATTGGATTTCAAGGACGTAGCTTTCATTCAGTCGGCCCACTGCTCTCGTCCCTCACTCAGTTTCCACATCCACAAAACAGAACATCTATTTCTTCACCTCTTCTGTGTTCTTTAAATTTTTAACATTTAAAAAAAAAACACCTTCACACTCTCCAGTTCTTCCCTCCAAATGTTTGCCCCTCTCTCTCTCTTTCTCAGTTACTCCCTCGACTGTTCTCCTCTGTCGTTTCCTTGATCTTGTCACCCCCCTCCTCCTCCTCTTCCTCCTCCTCCTCCTCTTCCTCCTCATCTTCCTCCTGTGCTGCTTGGATCTGCATGGCCGTCTCTCTCACGCTGGAAAATGTCACTGACTGCTCAGTGGTCGCCATCTCATGGTGATCTGAGGAGACAAAGACTGATGTCAAAAGAAGCTTTAAATTCACAAAACCAAGTTTTGCTTTGGGTAACTGTAATCATTGATATCAGTGTTTGATAAGCATCATATGGAGTGTTGTTGGTGTGAAACTGTGGTGAAAGAGATGCCTGACACTATTGATGCCAGACACTATTGACAGTAAAGCTGAAACACTTAGTCGATTAATTGATTAGTAGCTTGACAAATATATTATGCAACTATTTTGATAATTCATTGATTGTTTAAGTAATTTTTATGCTACATGCCAAAATTTCCCTTCTTCAAGCCTGTCAAATGTGTGTATTTGCTAGTTTTTCTATGAAAGTAAACTGAACATGTTTAAGTTCTGGACCACAGGTCAGTAACTGACAACATTTTCTGACATTTTATAGAACAAACGATTAATCGATTATTCTAGAAAGTAACTGTTGGATTAATTAATAATGAAAATTATAGTTAGTTGCAGCCCTGACAGATTTTCTTTCTGTACTTAAAGACAAAGTTGAGTAATACTATTGAAGATGTTTGTTTCTTGTCATGGTTGCTTAAGTGTTATTGAGAAGCATATAGATTGGTGGATAAT